AAGTAACGAAGAAACAGCTGTGTTGGTGTTAAATATTCAGTGGGTTTTGTAAGTGACTTATTTAAATATCTTCATCTTTATAGATTCCTCTCATCTGAAAGTACTCTGAAGTATGATTTTTGAGAGAGGGAATGTTTTTTTCTTGACTCTGACCTTTCTGCAGTTGGCATTTCGTAAAGTCTGGGTCTGCATTTAAAAAATGAAATAACCACACACCTTTTTTTTTTTGTTGTTGCCAACAAAATATTTGATGCCTGCTTTTTCTGACTGCAGAAAAGTTGGTGAAGTCTTTCTACTAAATGCTTAAAATAGCCAGGGGAGATTTGGAAAAAATGATGAGTGGTGTATTACACAACCAGGCTGGCTGAAGCGAAAAGTACTTCCAGCTCAGTTAGAAACGAGCACGCTAGAGAGTGGCAGAGTGAGAGAAGGTGCGTGCTGCGACTCAGAACGGATCTGAGCCGGTCAGGGTGGGACGGTAGCAAAGGCGGACGGTTGTCAGAGCGGCTGGAGCCCGGCTGTCACCCAGCACAGGCACCGTGGAGACCTTCGGGGGTCGGCACTGTCAGTCCAGCAGCTTTCTGAGCTGTCCTCGTATACCGAGGGTAGAATTGACGTCATAACATCACTTCATGCCCCAAGTGGTGGGGAAACCCTCTGAAGGGAAGATGGGAATTGCATAGGTATGTTTGAGTTATGTATTTCTAGGCAGCTTGTGGTGAAAGGAGGAGGCTGTATCCTGCGTGGGCTCTGAAAGATTCCACTCGTTCCTCCAAGTCATTCCAGCCTCTCTGAAGTTAGTGGGGATTTGCAATTTTGGACAAGTCTTGCAAATATATATATGTATATATTTGATAATAATCTCATTAACGTACTACCTAAATGCTACTTAAATTCCCATGCAACAGAGTCCATTTTAAAAAAAGGAGAACATCAGTCTGGTCAGGTTTTTCATGTTGCTGTGAAAGCAAACCTTGTGTGTCCCTGCAGGAGCTGCAGCCGGCAGGTAGGACAGGACAGGGTTAGCCACCAAGCCGGCGCTCGGGGCAGCACCAGAAGGGAGCTTCCAGATGGGATGTGTGAAACACCGATGGTCCGTTCCTTAAACCGGGTCCTGCATCTGTGAGCCCGGATGCTGTTACCCCTTTAGAGGGACTGACCGCACAATAATTTTCACCTGCCCCCACGCAGTGCAGTGCCGCTGTTGTTCACTATGGGGTGGAGGTGGAAGCGCTGCGGAGGCTCAGGGTTGGCTGAATGTTTCTGTTACGGGATGCTTTTCCAGCCCAACTTGTTTAAGTTTTGCTATTTTGTTTGATTTTTGGGGGTTTTGTTGTTGTTTGGGGTTTTTTTGGCCAGGTACTTTGCCCAGATGTGTTTCTAAAGAAGGGTCGGCGTTCCTAAAAAGTGATTGGCAAAATACTGTGATGGTTAAGGAAAAAAAGCACAGCCTTTTCTTTGTGAAGTTCTGGTTCCTGATGCTTTGGGAGTGTAAGTGAAGTTGGGAAACCTTAGGTGATGAGGATTGTCTGGGCAAAACGTAATTCCTCCTTAAGTATTAGTTGGAGAGCCGTACATTGCTGCCAAGAGGAGAGAAGAGAAGGGATGGATTAATCTGATTAATCGGTTGTTGGGGGCCAAATAAATGAATCAGGATGGAAGCAGAAAATCTGACTGTCTGGGCTTGGACTGGCAGGAGAGGTTGGCAGCTTGGCGACTATGGGTAGGAAAGAAGCAAGGGTAGTGCAAGGGAAAGGAATGGAAAAGGAAGAAGAGAAAATTAAAAGCATGGGGTGTAGAAAGAATCGCAGTTGGCATAATGTAGCTGGCAAGTTTTTCCCTTCACTGAACCCCAGAATACTTCAGAACATAGAATTTTCTAGTGTTTCCAGTATCCTCGATTTTGATTATTCCTCTGTGATGCTGGTCCATGCAGAGGATAAACAAACATTACCAAGAAAATTTTTGTGAGCTTCAGGTGGCAGAGACCCATGTGGGGATCTAAATGTCCGAACAGCGAGAGCATTAATGTATCACATGGTGCAATTACAGTCCTACTCAGTCCACTTGATTAGATACAAAGCAATTGCTGACGAAAGAACAGGATTTAGCTTGGAAACATTGAAATGCACATTTAATACGTGTCCGCATAACCATCATTCATCATCCTCGTGCATGTGCCTGATGGGGTAGTATACAATTTTGCAATCATTTTTTCCTGCAGGACCTTTGTTCAGTGATGTGTTGTCATTTCATCAGCAGTTACGTAGTATTTTATTTTTATACCTACTCAGTGTGCAATTCTGCCATTTTTCACTGTATATCGTGAAGATCTGAAAAGAAAATGCAGTCCTTCATGGTTAATATTCAGCAAACAGCGTATAATAAGATGTAATTACTTTGCAGTAATAGCTGTATTTATCACCTTTCCTATGTGGCTAAAGCTGCTTGAATCCATCATCAGAGCAGAGAGCTGATTGTTTCAGCTGCTCTGGCTTTGTTGTGGATCTGTTAGAAGCAGAGCTAACTTCCATAGCAGGGTGTCTGGCAAGTGGTCGGTTTATCTTACACACTCATCACTGCTGTGGGTTGCAGATTGCTGACCGTGATGGTACTCAGCGTGCACATCCTTGCGTGTTGGTTTTTGTAAACGTATAAGCCTATGGAATCTGGAGATCTAAAAGTCTTCTGGCCGCAAAGTTTGTGTAGTTTGACCCATGGTGAAACATATTTGGTACTAACAAGCCTCTGGTGGTCATCTTAAGGTGAATAAGGCCAAGTTTAACTCCTCAACCACTTAAGAAATAGATTGCATAGAACAAATACTAGAAGAAAAAATGTTGGGTGCTTTTCATTTTTTGTTTTAGGTGTGTAGCTTTGTAACTAGGAAGAAAACCTAAGAAAAACACGTTACGTTTTCCCTTCTTGTGTTGGACAAGGTCAAACACTTGTAGACCTCTCCCCTCTGCTTCAGAAAAGAGAGGGGGTTGCTTGCAGTTACCAATTTAGAAGTTAAGCCTAACTTGACAACTTTCTTGACTGAAAAGGATGGGAAAAAAGTACACTTGCACTGTGACTAAATCTAGCATACAATTAATTCTTCTATGCAGCTCTGTGTGTTAATTGCTGTCATTGTGTGAACTGATGGTTTAAGCAAAAATAGAAAATTTTATAACTGGTGTGTTGCTTACAATGCATAGTCTTAGCTTAAAGTGCCAGCCTGCAGCGGCTTTTTCAATCTATTCCGTGCTGTCAATCTCCATGAATCATCCTTATGTAAATGAAAAATACGTTGAATAGAGCAAACCTGGTTAAGTGTGTGTGGTTTGCACTTCGGTTTCGACTTTTCTTGTTTGTTCAGAAGCTGTAAGCTGGTAGCGTCAAAGTGGAGATGAGTGTTTCTGGGTAGATGCAATTAAATCTCCTTCCACATACCCTCAGCTCTTTCTGTCCTTCCCCAGTATGTGTCATTAAAGATCCCCAGTGCCGTACCCAGCTCCTCCTCTGTCTGTTGCTGGTGTACTGGGCCACCAGCGAAGAAGGCTGCAGGAATTGCTGTGGTGGTCTGGGACAGGTCGATCAGCCCCTCTGGCAGCCGGTGGCTTGCTGAGATGGAGCGATGAGCTGCGGCCGGGGCTGCGCCCCGTCAGAAAGGGGGTTCGGTGTGAAGACAGACCTTTGCCCTTCTGTGAAGGGTGTTTGATGTTGCCCGGTGTGCTCTGACGGTGCTTTGGGGATGGATTAGATGGGCAGAGCGACATGGAACAGGCCTTGTCCTTAAGAAAGGCATGAAAAGAATCAAGGTGTCCATCTCAAATGGCATCTTGAGGTAAATTATCAAGGTCTGTCTCTAGCGGGCTCAGCCCCCTCAGCAACTTTAACCTCAGACAGGGCTGAAGCCACTTGTCCTCGGTGTGGGGTTTTCCCCTTTTTGGATGACGTGCATCCAATGCGTCCTAGCAAAGTGGCCCATAAGCACCTGTGCTTTTCTGACAGCGAACATAAAAAACCCCAGGTAGGTCTCTCCTCGGCTGGCTGCTTCCCAAATCGCAGCGCTCGCCTGTGAGAATACACCGGGGCCCTTGAGAAATACCACGTGAATCGGAAGCCTGGAGCCTGCCGTCCACGCCGTTGCCAAAGAGGCGCTGGGAACAGCCTCCTGGCTTTTTTGGCACTTTGTTCAAACTTCGAAGCTGCTACTTTAGGCACTGTCTTTGAATAGCTGAATTTATTTTTTTGCATGTTAAGTTGCTTAGGAACAAAGAGGAAAAATAGTAAACGCAGCTAATTTGGTTTTATTACTGATAAGTTTGCATCTCTAATATAAAAATGTATTTTTAATAAGACAGTGAGCTGCAATCCCTGGCTTTTGCCAGGCAGAGTGTTAAATAAACTGTGTTGATGGACTGGGTAAGGAACCTGCCGCCCTGAGGGGTTTGCTGTTACCTCGAGCTACGCTTCAAATGTCTGCCTGTGCCTGTGTGTGCTTTTGTTTGGGGGGATTTTGTGCTCCTGCTACTTCATTAGGTGAGTTTCTCCAATTCTTTGTGCCATATCCAAGGGAACTTATTTAAAAACTAAGCAAGCAAACAAACAGAAAAAAAAAATAACAAACCAAACCCCTCAACCTAACACTAGTTGTGTGAAGTAGCTGTACCTGCTGAAGTAGAAAAACCGAACGGTGAAAGTGTGTGAAACGGGTCTGTTTGCCTGGGACAGCGTTGAAACGTGTTACCGTTGTAGTAGGGTAGTGTTTTTGACTGGGACAAGTTATAAACTTTCTGGTCTTGCATCAGACGTTTGGCAGCAACAGTTAATTTTTATCATTCATGGGGCAACATTCTTGTTGCTTAAAAAAGCATTTGTCTGATCAAGAGCTTTTTGGAATTTGTTTATAAACCTTTCCTCGCTGCTAGAATATTTGGACAATGTTAGCAGTAAAAATCCAGATAATTACAAATGTTTGAAGCAATCTTTGTTTATTTCATCTGTTTTTATAGATTGCCTGTTCAAACTATGTCCCATGAACCGGTACTCTGCTCAAAAGCAGTTCTGGAAAGCAGCAAAGCCAGGAGCTAACAGCACAACAGATGCCGTGCTACTCAATAAACTGCACGTAAGTATTCACGTGTAGGGTCCTTTTGATCATCAACACTCATCCATACTGCTTTAAATTAGTATTTCCAATCAACTTGACACAGTTAATGAGGAGGCACCGAGAAAGTATATAGAATCAGTATACAAGACTCCTTTTGAGACATTCACTGAGCTCTAACTCTTTAGACATCCTCTGATTTCTGACAGCATGCTGTTCAAGGGCAGTGTGCCCCAATATCGGTACGTATGATGCTGGGTTAGAGTCATGGTAATTATTTAAGCTTTTGTCATTAATCTCTGCTAACCTGTAGTAGTGCTCTACATGGGCGTTTTGGGTGGTAACAGCATAAAAATGAGACCCTTCAAACAGCCGCGCAGAGTGGAGGATTCTCAGGCGTTGCATCTCGATGTGGGAAGTCGCAGGTGTTAGCTGTGCTGGTAGATGCCATCTGAGCTACCTGTCTAATAAATCCATTGTGATTCCTCAGACAAGCATAGCTGCTGTTAATACCAAAATCTTGCCATGCAAACCCAATACAAGGTTGATGGGTAATTATGAGTAATTATAAGGCCAGACAGCCTCTCCTTCCTTATTAGCTTGCAGTATTTAACATTTTCTGGGTAAAATGTTGACATTCAGCAGTTGAAAAGCCTGTAAGGCAATTGATTGCTGTTTTTAGAGTTCCGATATAAAAAAAAGCCAACTTAAATACCATCTGTTGACTTTAGAGTTAAATAAACTCCATGTTTATGTTAAAATAACATAGCTAGAGTACTTCATGTCAAAATTACAATTCTAAATATTTTTAGTTTCTTTGAGCCTATATTAAGCTCATTGTAGACTGAAATACAAAATGGCCCTGTAGGAGAGTGTCGTTTGCTGATTGCCATATGGCTGCCTTGCTCCTGCATTTCACAAAGGCTGAGGGTTTGACTCATTTTGCTTCTTAAAACATAATTTTATAACCTAGAAGTATTAACTTGGCAAGGAGAAAGCTATTTTGGTACTGGCTGTAGCACAAAGGTCCTTTGCTTGTGCCGCATTTCTCCTGCCCCTTTAATGATGAGAAGTAGATGGTGCCAGCAAGCTTTAAGGAACGGGGCATTCTGGGTTTGGGTTTTCTCGTGTATGAGGGGAAGGGCGAGTTTATACCCGCAGGTTATATGCGTGAGTTCGTGGATTTTAAGAGAAGGTACGGTCTAAATACGGTGTCATGTAAAAGAAAAATGCTGTGTAATTGCCCTGGATTACAATGTCATTCAAAGCTGTCTTCTCTTTCCTCGGTACGTGCCAGTTCAGGTGTTTGGGACCTGTTCCTGTTCGTCTGACACTTTGCTGTTTTGTGCCGGAGTCCCTATGGAAATACAGGATTAGATTTTTCCAGTATTTAGCCCCAGCTGAGTGACGTTTGTACAGAAATGTACCACCACGCATGAAGTGCTTGCCTGAGTTGGTGAAAGGATTTGAGTACTTTGCAGTTTTATTGGAGATTATTTAATGTGCATCACTTTGACATAAAGGCTAATCCTTTATATAACATGTGCCAAATCAGGTCTTCAGTGACCTGGGTGTTTGAAATCATTTGGTCCCATGCACATCACTCGATATATCAAAACTTATTTTTCTGCCAATCACATGGGTACGTGTGTCATCTTTTCCATTTGTTGGCGGATGGAATACACTAAAAATCCCTGCGTTTGGCATGATGTGTATTGGGGGGGGGGGCTGTGCCCTGAAACATGTGCGTACTATTGTTAGCTCTGCCCCTGATTAGATTTCTTTATCAGTGCATGTAATTTATAACAAAATTGGTGATGCAAGGTGTATTCATCATCACTTGCCTTTTTTGGCTTCTGTTTGTCTGCTGGTGGAATTTATTGTCCGCTGTGCAGCACTCGATGCTGAGGTCAGGTTATTTTAAGTTAATGCCATTTAAGGGATTTAAAATCTGGGACACTTGTCTTTCTTTGGTATCAAGAATCGGTGCTGGTTGAGAAGCTGACATCTAGTGGCCAGAGAAAATGATTCTTTCTTCTTGAATGATTGTCAGTCTTGGTGTGTGCTTTTGAAATGCATCCAAAATCTTAATCGTGTTTTCACAGAATACACTATTTTCTTTATTTATAATAAACGTGGCACCCAATCCAGTGCGGGCAGAGAAGTCACATCTTCTGTAATTGCCGTTGAAAGGGCCCTAGTGTCTTGAAGAAATCCTTTCTCAACAGAATACTTTGAAATCAAGGAAAAAAAAAAATTGTCTTTCAGTAATAGAGAGAAAATTATGCTGCATTGTATTTCTGAATATATTTTTGAATTTGAATGAGCAGCTGTATTCCAGATTCTCCTGGAGCAAAAGCCAGATATCATACCTAGCACAACTTCTAAAAATAGCACATTTTGTGTAAGCTGAAGATGCTGAAGTTTTATAACAGTATACAGATAACTCTTCCTTTGCAGCAGCTAAGCTTTGTCCTGTGTTATTACTATTTTACCTTACTACACTTAGGAACTGTGAGTACTTTCTCCTCCTCCGGGAGAAAACTGGACCTTCTATAGTCCTTGAGATCTGAGAACCAAACCATAAACGTTGATGCTTAGCCTCCAAAAAAGTCTAGTTTTAAATTACTGTCTACCACCAGATATTGGTTAAAGCAAATACAGGTTGTTTTGTTTTGTTTTTTTTAAATGAAAAAATAGTCTTTCATGTAAAGCAAGAGAGAATTTCTTTACCAAATGAAATTGTTTAAAAACAGCCTGTGCAAAATAGCTCACTTCTTTTAAAACAAAGTGCAAGAGACTAGTTATAAATTAAGTTATTAAATACAGCGACATATCCTGGTGATCACTCAATTTTGCAAAGACTTTCCCTTTTATTACCACATTATAGTGTGATCCAGAAATGCCCAGCTGTATTTTCGCGGCCGGTCTGTAACACAGCGCGGGGAACCCTTCAGCCCCGTGAAGTACGAGCTCTGCTGCTGGGAAGTTGGGAACTCAGGTACTGAGAGCTGCGCTGGGCAGTTGGTCACGTCTTCTAAATAACCCTGCTGTGTGGGGCCTTTATTGGTAAAATAAAATAAAGATCCAAAGTTTAGGTCCTTTTCTTTCAATTCGTGTAGAAGTCAGTAGAAAGGAATGCAGACTTCCTGGCTCGAGTTGTTACCCGTCCCTTTTCACCTTCCCTCCATAGGTTTGGTGGTGTTGTCTTCTTGTGGCTTGCCTTCTATCTTTTCTATTTAATGTCTTGTTTTATTCCAAAATTTTGTGCAATTCTACCCAAATTACAGATTGCTTAAATGGTTTGTGTCTGTCTTTCTAAACAACTGAGAAAGGGAATAGGAAATTACGCTGTTGGAAGTTGGAAAAAGGAAGTTACGCTGTTTCGGCTGCTCGCTGCTTTTCCAGCTCTTTGAAGTACTCTTACAGAACCTCAGGTGTTTGGCCACGCTTCTTGTAAAACAGCCAGCAATTGAATTGTTCTTTTATTTCAGCATGCGGCAGATTTGGAAAAGAAACAGAATGAAACCGAAAACAGGAAGCTGCTGGGAACAGTCATCCAGTACGGCAATGTTATCCAGGTAGGCTATGAGCATCTTTGCAAGCTGGGTAGGGTTTTGTTCAAACTCCCCGGCTCAATGTGACTTTAAATTTCAGGAATTCAGGGACAAGAGTCTGTCCCTTTGCAGGGTGTGACAGTGTCCTGAAGTGGGATCCTGTGAAGCAAGAACTGGGCATATAGCTAGGATGGAGTCCCTTTTTTATTAGGGGTTAATTGTGCTTTGCTTTATTTTTGAGGTCACCATATGATTGCTTTCTTCAGAAATACATCTTAGAGCCTTCATTAGCCTTGGCCATTTGGAAGGTGGCACAGGCACCGTACAATGCCAAATACGGTCTCAAATCAAGTGTTGATACATCAGATAGTAAACTGACACAGAGAAAGAAAATCAGACTGTTATAAGTAATTGCAGCCATTGAAGCAGAGGATATCCTTAGTCCCAGGGAATAAAAAAAAAAATCATGCATCAAACCCAAGAAAAATGGAAAGTACAATAATTGCATAATTTAAAAAGACAGGTCTTTAATAAGTAGGGAACATAATATGTGGGAGGTGCTGCTTCACCCTGAAACTGAAGCAGAGCTACTTCCGCGAGGTAGAGTGCCTCAGCACCTCAGAGGTAGGGATACTTACCTGAGCGTCTTGAGCCTTACATGAAATTCCTATGCAAATATTTTTTTCGTATTTTATTCTGCTGACATAATACCAGCCAGCAGAGGGGGTGGCTAGGAGCACAGGCAGGCTGGGCTGTCTTGTTGCAAGGAGAAATCAATTGGCTGCCCTTCAAAGCAAGTGTAGGATTTGGAGCAGCCTGATGGAGGAAGGGTAGAGCAGCGCCTGCCTTGGTTGAATTAAATGTGTATTGGTCCGTGTGAGGCAAAAAAATCCACTTTTAATTATTGATGGAAAAAAAAAATCAATTTTTGATTGGACTACAAACTTCAACACTATTAAGAGCAGTGATAAGTTTTTGCCCATATTTTCCTTGTGGTAGAAATGTTCTGTGAGTAACCACTATTTTTGGTAGTTAAAAGGTATCAAAATCTGACTTTCTATACAAAAGCACTTGTCTGCTAAATTCACTGGAAATCTAGCAAGGGTTGGTGGGAGCTGGGATGGGACCTGTTGGAGCACACACGCTCATGCCGATGGTGTGCAGCCTGCAAGGTGGACGCAGCACAGAGTTGAACGGGACTCTGAAGAGAGTCTTCAGAGAAGTAGTCATGTTTTCTGTTAAATCAGACCGAGCAAAGCCAGAGAAGAGAGCTTCGCTTCTCACTTACCTGCTTCCTACCAGGGGAAACCAGTTAGTCCCCAGCATTTTACAACTTTTGATCTGGGGTTTTCAAACAGGCTGTTGTAAAGCGACAAGAACGTTTCAAAGTGTTTATTATTTGATGGAGAAGGGACGGTTGGATTAGCTGAAGATCTTTTGTGCTGTAGGACTGTATATATACTGAAAGAAGTGTGAGTGAAATTGGGCCTGAATTCATCAATATTTTTATGTAATTTAGTTTTCATTTTAATTCCTGTATAATACTGTGGTTATCTTATGCACGCTCGCTATTTATTGAGGGGAGGAAAAATGAGCATTCTTAGAACTGAACTCTAATTCTTATTCTAGCTGCTTCACTTAAAAAGTAACAAATACTTAACAGTAAATAAGAGGCTTCCAGCTCTACTAGAGAAGAATGCTATGAGGGTGACCTTGGATGAAGCTGGAAATGAAGGTTCCTGGTTCTACATACAGCCCTTCTACAAACTGCGTTCCATTGGAGACAGCGTAAGTGCTAAGAGGAATATCTTCACGTATTGCTTTGTGCAAAGCTTGTTTCGGGAGGCAATTAATGAAATGCACAGACCTTTAGTGCGTGACGTTGCAGGAACAACCTTTTTCCTAATGCTGTCACGAGGGGGAGGAAAATTGCTATGGTAACTTGTATTTTGGAAACGTGGAATGATTTAATGGTGGAAGGAATAAGGGACCTAATTACACTAGCCTTTCACAATTCCTGCCCATTTCAAAATGGTAGGAAATGTTGAGTTCCTTTGGTAGATTTGGAACAAATAATTAGCGTCTTGGTTTTCAGTGTTGTCAGCTTGGAATGAAAATTCATCATAATTTTGTGTGTTAGGAATAAGGTAATAATGAGGTTACATGGCCCTGTTCATGGGAAATCTGGAAAATGATTGATTCTGAATTCAATGCGTTACTGTTTTAGTCTCTTTTTTACAAATCTGAGTCACCTGGGTGTATTGTCTGCCTAAAACCAGGAGGTAACAAGCTTCAGTGTGCTCTGTGATATAGTCCAGGTATATATGGCACCTAAACACAGCAGACTTTATCAAATACGAATAATTTATCCTGTAGACTAGTCCCATATGTTCTTATATGACTGTTCCTTTTCTGCAGACACACATGCACGCAGAGTAAAGCCAAACCACAGAGTAGTGCAGCCTTAGTGGCCATTAAGCTCTTCTAAATCATATCTATTCTCAGACACTATCGCTAACAGCAGTTCTTTTCAAGACAGAAAAGTCTTTTTGCTTTTTAGTTTAAGACTTTGCCCTAGGAGAAGGGAAGAATGGGACTTTACATAATAAAGCGCATTTGTCTTGAATCATATGCCAGCCTGGTCAAGAATCTGATTTTACAAATGAAAGTGCGCCTTGGAGGAGGAGGATTTTTGGCTGACCTTTTGCTATAGGAATTATTTGTTAAATGCTAACCAATGAAACAACTTCATGGAAAGCAGCAGATAAGTTAGTTACAGGAATTGCAGTCTGTGTTTCTTCTCTAAGCCTCCGAGTCCAATACTACAGGCTTTTTTCTGCCTCAATAACTGAGTACGATGAGCTAAATTCTGAAGCAAACAGAATCCTGGTTTTCATACTCAGACTGGCATCTCTCCAAACTGCAAGAAGGTGATTTCTTCCCATCAGTCCCATTAAAAAAAACAAAACAAAACAGGAAAAGAGCTTCCTTAGGTTGCAAGTTTCTGTCTGATGCTGCACTTGTCTACAGGTTGTCATTGGAGACAAAGTAGTCCTGAATCCTGTCAACGCTGGCCAGCCTCTCCACGCCAGTAGTCATCAGCTTGTCGATAATCCGGGATGCAATGAGGTAAGGGCAGACTGACAAAGCTGGAGGAACTGCACAAACCTCTGTCTCTTTCAGCTGAGCCGCCCAGACCTGTGTTTTAAGAAAACCAGGTTCTCGGTAAGCTTGTTGGTACCTGTGGCATTGTTTAGGAATGGTTATCTTGTTAATCGCCAACTGAATATAGCTGTCAGACTTTTCTCCTATCTGTTGGGCACTGGGCAGGAGTTTGAGTTTGATCTCTTTTGTGTGACTGGCTAAAAATAAAATCTTTCTTAAAAATGAAAAGTTGTGGCACAGTGATGTGTAGCAAGTGACTTGCTAGCAAGTCAGCTCTGTAGTTACTTGTGCTGGAGTAAATGCAGAAAGGGCTTTCCTTCTCTACAGTAATGCAACAGGGACTGCAATATTCTGTTGAAAATTGTCTACACGGTAAGGCAGTGCTTCGTGGCAGTATCTTTTGCAGGCACAAGACAACGGGGCTAATGGTTTTAGTTCTCCTTCTAGGTCAACTCTGTGAATTGCAATACAAGCTGGAAAATAGTCCTTTTCATGAAATGGAGTGATAACAAAGATGATATTCTCAAAGGGGTAAGATGCAAAGCTCTACTCGCTTGTAACTTGTCCACTGATGGTGATGCCTATATTGACCGTGCTGTCTGGGCTTTGGCAGGGGGATGTGGTGAGGCTGTTTCATGCAGAGCAGGAGAAGTTTCTGACTTGCGATGAGCACAGGAAGAAGCAGCATGTTTTCCTGAGAACGACAGGGAGACAGTCGGCCACGTCTGCAACCAGTTCAAAAGCCCTGTGGGAAGTAGAGGTAAGAATTGTAACCCAGGCTTTGTACTAACAATTACTGTTTCTGTTTAAAAACAGTGTACCTGGATTTCTTTTTTTATGTAAATGTCTTCCTGTTCTTAGAAGTTTAAATTCCTTTACTTACTGTGCTTTCTGTGCAAAATCAAAGAGGAGTTCTGATCTCTAATGCTGCAGCAGATAGCTCTCAAAATCAGGTTCCTGATAATTCAGAAAAAGGGGACAGAGAAGCATCTGTGAAGTCATTTTCTTACCAGTCACTGAAGTTGAACACTAGCTAATAATTTCAACTGTCCTGCTGAGTGTACAGAATGCTCTATTTTTGGTGTGGAATAATGTGATTATGCACATCCTCATTTGATAGGAGACTGCAACCCTTTGCTAGTCTCTGTGCATTGTTTGTCTGGACCATTTCTTTTTTCTTTATTTGGCTTTTAAATAGTGTGACTAACATCTTGGTCATCACTGGCTTCTTAAAATATCCTTACTCTATTGGTGTGATTAGAGGGGGTTTTTTATGATTTTAAATGTTTGCCATGTGAATTGCCTGTGAGAATCACAAAATTACTTGGAATGGTGGATAGGTGTTTTTCATATTCTCTTTCTAGAAGTATCTGCTTTGATACACATTGAAAGCCTACCTAAAATTAACGTTACTTTGACATCTTACGACGCATCAGAAGCTTCTGTGGTAACTGTCCTTGTGTACGCAGTTACGGTTGGTAAATGCGAGGCAGACGTAAGCTAATCCTTCCCCGAAAGGCTCAGCCCAGCTATGCCGAGCCTTCCCTAGGGAAGTGGGTGTACCCACAGAGAAGCCGATGGGGAGTAACAGATCATCTGATGCTGGAGGCTCTGCTTGTCATGGGAGAAGTTAGAGAGTAAACACGACAGCCTTCAAATTCCTTTGTACAATGCCGTGGCATTTGAAACATTTCCAAGTGTCTTCCCTCACCCGCTTTCAGAAGGTCAAAAATTAATTATACCAAAAAGGTAAAGGATTTGTTCCATTTCTTTAGGAAGTTTGTTTTCAGACCTACCAAGGCATGCACATCTAGAGCACCTGCTTTAATTACTTCCCTGCCAACGTGCACCATAATCTTCCCGCCATCACTCCCCAAACTTCAATGGAGTACCAGCCACGGTCAGTGACTTTGCAAACAGGTATTGTCACTTGACAACGAGCAGAAAATCAATGTTCCTAGGTCGCTGACGTGAACTAATGGTAGTCTGCTCAAAGTATTTACTGTGCTGTGTGTTGTTAACATATGAAAGGTGGTTTCATCTTTTCTGGAGCTCCTTGTTCTGTTTCCTCTTACCGGTACGTGAAATACAGTAAGTGCTGTGTTTGAAAGAGAGGTCACTGTAATTACACGGTGTAATCGTGGTTTCCCTTTCCTTGTAGGTGGTGCAGCATGATCCTTGTCGTGGTGGCGCAGGGTACTGGAATAGCCTTTTCAGGTTCAAACATCTCGCCACTGGACACTACCTAGCAGCAGAGGTAGGTGCTGGGGCTTGCTTAGGAACTCTGCCTTTCCTTCCACAGTATTCTCTTCCTTTTACCACTTCTTAAAAATCTCTCATTTCCTGCCCTAAAAATAGGCACAGGGGAGGGGAGGAGAGTGGTGTTTGGGTCCTTAGTATTAATACAAACATAGATGGCTAAACATAGAAAACAAGATGAAAGAGATGTAAAAGAATACTACGGTACAGGGTAGTCTTGAGCTTATTTCACTTTTTGTGTGAATTCTAGAGGCAATAACTCTTCTCCTGCAAAGAACAGACACTAAATAGTGTCCTGTCATGTGGGCAGTAGAATCAAGATGAATTTATTAATAGATGAATACATTAAAAAAGGCTGAGAGCCTTTGGGGAAAAATGAATTCAACTATTGTTAGTTTCTCCTGAATCACAGATTTCCGAGCGGAATTGCAGAATTGAACGTATAACGAAAATACAGTTAGACGTCAGACCAGTCGTGCAAGAACTGCAGATAATGCTTAGCTGTCCAAGCACAAAATAAATAAGAAGTCTAAAGGTTATAATTTTGTGTTGCTGCTCAACACTTTTAAATGTTTATTAAAACTACTACTATTCACTTTAAAGCGTGGATATATCAACATGCCAATACACAAACCTCTGTAAGTAAAAGCTAAAGCTGTCCTGGATGTACGAGCATGTAGCAGGGCAGACGGGCGGCCTCAGCCCATGTTATTGACCTGAGAGCTTCGGTGGGAAAAGTCCAGGTTAAATATCCCATTTTTTATTCTTCTAATAAGCAGATTGGAAAACCAGCAGCATTTTGTCACATGTACACTCGCAAATCCTTTTCAGTAGCGATCCAATATAGAGCTTTTCCAGTAAATCTTGGGTTTGCTAATCAGCCAAAACAAAAACATGGTCTTACATCATACAAAAATATACTAGAGGAATTGCTCTCCTGATCCATGGTTAGAATAGAGTTTATTCTAAAATACTTCTGCCAAACCAGTAATTTCTAGTTGGAAATTCCACTTGGGATTTAAAAAAAAAAAAAAAGAAAAAACACCCACAAAAAAACCCGAAACTTGGTAACTCTCTGCCGTTCTTGCTCCTTTAGTGATTATCCTGAACAAGAGAAATCTCTCTGCATGTTTGCAGATTATGTAACTGCTTAATTCATGGACAGGCAGATGCCTGGTTAGAAATGAATCGGTTTGCGCAGTGTATTTGTTCTGCATGCCTGGTGGTGCTGTAGCAGTAGCGTGCGTTTTTTACAAAATAAGTTTAGACCGCGCTGAGGTTGTTTCCCACTTCCAGCTCTGTTAGAGTTTTGACGTGCCTGTGATTCTGTTTCATCAGGTAAACCCTGACTATGAGGAAGATGACCTGGAGTGTCAATCCTCAGTAAGTATAGGCAAGAGTATGATCTTGCCCCTAATTGAGGAGGGCTTGACACAGGTCCAGGTATTTACCTGGCCAGTGCATACATGGTCCAGGCTTTGCTGCTAGTGAAGAAGCTAAAAAAGCTGAGAATGATCTGAAAGCTTTTAAGGCCTGTCCAGAAGAATGGATATTGAAAACTGGATTAGGCTTTAGTGAAGAGCAATGCACTTGGAACCGAATTTATACGTTACCTGGACCCCCTCGCCTCCCCTCTTTGTAGCATCTCTTTTTCTGTCTTCCTATTTCTTAAACCTTTCCTTCCTTGAAGCACTCTCTTGAATAGGTCTGAAAAGCAAGTTGCTCAAGGTGACACCAGATGGCAAGTGTCCCTAACGGGATGTTCACGTAGTGTTGTGCCAGTCAGGCACCTGACCTCCTTGTTTAAGAAATTAATTCCCCCTCTCGTTTTAGCTTGTCACAGGAAAGCCAGGATAAAGGGTCTAGAGAGCAAGAATGGCAGGGGGAGCATGATTTCAGTGCCATTCTTCTGATTTTCCTGTGAAAGCAAGTCTGTGTTGTTTTCTGTAAGTAGTTTTGTGTCAAAGATTGAGTGTGCTGATGCTTTGTATTAATAGAAGCTTCTCTTTGGTGTCAAAGGGAAACAGCATTGCTTCGGTGGCTGAAAACAGATAAAACTGGAACAGCACTTTCCATTGTGGATTACATTTTTTTATAGTTGGATATGATTGTAGGCTTACACAGCTTTCTTGGTCATTTATCCTGCATTGTGAAAGATTTGCTCTATTTGGATATGAGAAAGAACTACTCCCTCAATTTTTAAAAGATGCATGTGAAAGCACTGTGATGCTTTGAAATCCTGCAGGGTAGACTTTTTCCTCCTAAAAGGATTTGTCATTATACCCTGGCCGTTAAAATGCTTACCCTTGCCCCCAGATATTGAGCTGTTATCCTGATTAGTTCTTGGTGGTATTTGGCAGCAAACACTGATCTTCTGACAGCTTGACTTCAGTAAACATGCTGGAAAAATGAAAAAATGAACACCCTCCACCCACACCAAGCTATTGTTGGGCGAAAGGGAGGATCCAACATTGACTATTTTGTTGGCTTAACTTTTTGAAAGTCAATCAGTGTCAAGGTCTTTTATGTAGACATCCATCCTGCTAGTGTTACGCTAATGTCTCTGTCTGATAATACGTGCAGTAATAACCATAAGGCACTGGCTTCAGAGTTGTGCTGATTTTTCCCTGCTCTGTCTCTGTACCACTAGGTGGCAAAATAGACCATAAAGAATAGGCTCAGGAGCACATAATTCATTTCTGACACGCAGTTACTGCATCGTTTAACATTCACTAGTGACAGGGTGGTGTAGGCTGCTTTATCCAACTTCATGCAAACTCCAACTTGATGTAAATGTGAGCTGTCTGCAAGATGGCAGGTTTCTTCGCACAGCTCTGTGGTTTGTTGTTTTCTCCTTATACCTCGGTGAGCTGTACAGGAATGGGGTTTAAATGGGCATGGCTGAGGTGCCAGCTAGCGCCTTTCAACATTAGAGGACTGCTGGTGTCAGCTTTGGGGTTGAAGTTTTAGTTCTCCCTAAATTGCCCCATTTCCTACCTTCCGATTTTCTAATTATCAGCTTTGCGGCAGTTTCAATAACTGACCAGTTGTCTCCTGAAGTGCAAATTGTGAATGCAGAGCCGTACTGTGGGGATGGAGACAGCTGAAATTTGGAGAATTCATTCCAAGAGAGTGAATTTCTCCCAGTGTAAAGCCTCCAGATGGACCCCGAGCGTATAGCTGCTGCTTCTCCTGAAGGCACGCTCCCAATGTGTATTTCTGTTCCATACAGCTAACTGTCTGTTCCCACATGAAAAATCAGTCTTTAAATGTCACAATTTGCGGCCAAGTTCATTGACTACAAATGTGCTAACCACAGGGTATCCTGAGGCACGAGCAATGTTACATACCTTTTCTGTACGTTTAAGGATTGCGACGCCTTACGCCAGGACTTTGAAAGGCAGGTACTCGACCGCTGACCGCGTTGGGTGCCTGTCTTCTGCTGGTGCCAAGATCACAGAGAAATTGATAAGTTGGCTTCTTGATCACTTTTTGAAAACTGCATCTAGGATTTAGATGTTTATACATGGACAGCTGGCTCCTGTCTTGTGTCAGACAGTTAGCAACTTTTTTATTGAGTAGCCATAACCGGTAGTTCCCTAGGAAAGGTTTTACAGAAAGTTGTTGTTCCTTTTTCCCAATTCATCTTTATTTTTTCCTACCCTCTTGTCCTTTCATCTGAAAATCCAGGGGTTTATTCAGTTGATGCTACTATCTTTACTTCGCTAAAGGAGGCTGGTAATTTGCTAGCACCTTGGAAATAAAGATAGTTCTGATCCCATGGCCTTTGTAGCGTATCCTTGTGTTTGAGTGCATCATAAGCTGTGGTGTGAACAGCAAAACATCCTGATTAGCTTTTTGTTTCATTTGTCTGTAATTACTAGATGCGAGTCCCATTTTTTTTGCTGGAGTTGCCCAGCAAAGACTGTTGGTACATAGTGTTGGTGACACTTCTGTTTGCAGCTCACAGAATTACTTTGTTAGGGTGATAACTGCAATATGTGGAATACATTTAGAGAGCTGGCAGTGCCAGGGGTGGGGATCTTAGCAGGTGTGGGTCATCTGAAACTAGTCAGAGTTCCCAGTGACTGTGGGGTGAATGGCCGGGGGGATTTTCAGTCTCTTGTGGCACTGCCTCCAAGACACAGCCTCTGTGGTTTAGGAGTTACCGTATTTGTCATCCAGAAATACTCAGAAGTTATTAACACCAGGGAAAGCAAAGAAATAGTTGGCAAGAGCAGCTACTTGTCAGTTTTACTGGTGTCCTAAAGCCCAGTTGTCTAAACTGGTCCTTGGAGTGGTTCAGTCCTGTCTGCAAATTCCAGGGCACATCTATTTAACGTGGGGCAGGTGGGTCTGGAGGGCTTGGGCTGACTGTGTGTGATGGGACTTCTTCCACAGCTGGACCCTGAGCAGGATGCCTCCAGAAGAGGCTTGCGCAGTGCTCAGGAGAAGATGGCGTACTCCCTGGTGTCTGTGCCTGAAGGAAATGACATCTCCTCCATATTTGAGTTGGACCCTACCACCTTGCGAGGAGGAGACAGCCTTGTCCCCAGGTACAGCTAAGCATACTGGTAGAACTGACTATCTGCTTTGGAGTTTGATTCTTTTATTTTTATTTTTTTTCTTAAGGTAAAGCTGTCTCCTGCTGTTTTTCTTTCATCCTTTGGAATTAAGATTCTTTCTCAAATTAATGTAGGAATACTTAGCAAGTGCCTGAAGCTTCACTTTAGTACTTTACAATTGAGTTATAAGTAACAGAACACCATTTTACAGGTGGGAAAATTGAGATTAAGTGACATCCTTGCCAGTGAACAAGCTGGGACCGAAAGCCTTGGGTGTCTTACCAAGCCACTCCTGTGACCTGTCTGCGTTAAGTTAGCCAGGATGTAACACCGAGTAATTTACACTTGGTTTATGTGTCCTTGACTGTTCATATGGTACCTCTTGTTACTTAAAAGATTCTGTACCCTTCAAAGTTATGCAGTCTGCGTGCAGGCTCTTTGCTGTCTGCTCCCACTGAGAAAGCACAGCGTATTCGTTCCATCTACTTTATCTGAGCAACTCTCTAAATCATCAGACACTAAATTAGCAGAAGTGAACAGGGCCACCCAAAGCAGCTGTCCTGGGTGCCTCTTCTGCCCTTTGGGCTGCCACGGTTGTGTGGAGAGAGGAGGCTGGACTGCAGCTGAGAGACTGTTTCTTACCGTGGCCCAAGATGCTCATCTACTGTGGCTTGACATCTTTTATTAAAGAGCTGGTACATGCAAAATAGGGTCATTGCCAGAAATACCGGAGAAAACTAAGTCTGGGAAGTGCTGTCCACATAGGACTTCTGCTAGAGAAAATTGTTGCATGCTGGTCTCGTATTCTGGTGTCTTGATGGACCTTTGATGCTTGAACAACACTGACATATACAGAGAGTCAAAAAATTCTCAGTTTAGAAAACATAAAGTAGACATTAGGGAGTTATGGACTGAAAAATACAAAGGTAATGGAGGAAGCTGACAGCTCAGATACACTATAGCACGTGGAAATGTGAGGACTTGAAGAAGCTTTATTTGTTACTGTGCAGCAGCTGAGTTACAGCAACGAAATACAGATGTACTTCCATTGTACAGCAGAACCTGTTTCATTACATAAGAAGACTTCTTAAGGTGAATTTATAGAATGGAATAAGGAAAGAGTCTTATTCCTGTTATGGTATGCAGCATGGATAAAGATGACACTTTTTTTTCCACTTGTTCCTGCCAACATCTTGCAATTCGAACAATGTGAAGATTTCCCGTCTGGGAACTGACTCATGCTTTGAAACTTTTGACTTTCTTTCAGGAACTCTTACGTCAGACTTAGACACCTTTGCACTAACACCTGGGTCCATAGTACCAATATCCCTATTGATAAAGAGGAGGAGAAACCTGTGATGCTCAAAGTAAGTCCTGTTACTTTATATAAGCACATCCTTTGATTCCTGTGCATCCACAAAAGTGTTGGTAGGAGAAGTTCCAGTCCCATGAGACTGCTGGGCTTGTCAAACAGTGAGCAGGTTAACAGTAATGAATAGGGCCTATGCAAAATGTTTTATCTAAAAGGTTGGGTTTTCACAGTAGTTTACTAGTAACACTGTTCAATTTCTACTGTACAACAGTCATCACAAGGAGAATTGTTTCCACTGTTTACAGCAACATTTTGCAATCTCTCCTGGTGTTTCTCTGGATTTAGGAATACCTTTGAGTTTGCACAGAGCAATACTGTTCTCAAAGTGTGACTTCATCAGCAGCCTCACACTGTCCAAGTGGAGCATGGCTTTTCTTCTGTTTTATTATCACTGAGTAAGTTTTCTGCCTTTTGCTTTGATGATAAAACTTCTTTGGGTTTCAGATTGGTACTTCTCCAGTGAAAGAGGACAAAGAAGCTTTTGCCATAGTACCAGTTTCCCCTGCAGAGGTTCGGGACTTGGATTTTGCGAATGATGCAAGTAAGGTTTTAGGTTCCATTGCTGGCAAGTTGGAAAAGGGAACAATAACCCAGAATGAAAGAAGGTAAGGAAGCAAGACTTTGATTCACATAATGTTGTTTCCTTTACTCAGTAACTGCTTCTTTGCAAATTTTATCTATGTACGCTATCGTCAGGAGAGGGATTTTGTTTCCTACGAAGTTAGATTAAAAAAAAAAAAGACAGTTGATGGTTTTACTGTTGATGTGACCATAGTGGAGGTTTTCAAGCCTATTTTGTCAAGCCCTCCCTGTTGCTCGGTGAAATGAGAGCATGAGAACTCTTGTTGTGAACTTGGAGGAATAATCCACGGCATACCTTTCTGGATGGGCTTTGCAAATTGAGTGTGGGAATTTATAATCCATCTTGTGAAGACTGAGCACATGACTTCTTGCAAATCCTCTGATAATATCCATGAAAAGTACGTGGCCACACAAATAAGAGTCAGCTGTGTAAAACCAGGGCCCATGTGCTTCTATAGCCGGTATCTTTTATTTGGCCTTGGGAGAGATTATCACTTGATTTTATTTTTTTTTTAATTTTTTTATTTTTTTTACTTTGGCAATTTAAAGAACTGCCAAACAGAATTTGGCGAGCATATAGTTGTCCTAAAGTTGTATCACTGTCTTACTGCTGCTGTGGTTTAGCTATTAGACAGTAAGGCTGCAGCAATAGGGAGCATTTAAGTTCTGTACAAACCTCTGTTATCCAGCATCTGAGTCAGTCTATAACTGATGTTCTTTTTCACTTAGAAGTTTGAAATTTATGTACACTTACACTGGCGTTGTTCTTTTAACAGATAGAATTTGTAGTTTTGTATTAACAACTTCTGGCTTTGCTGCAGATCTGTTACCAAATTGTTGGAGGATTTGGTCTATTTTGTTACTGGCGGAACTAACTCTGGACAAGACGTCCTTGAAGTGGTATTTTCTAAACCTAATAGAGAACGGCAAAAACTGATGAGAGAGCAGAACATTCTAAAGCAGGTAGGCTGCATTTTTCTTTAAATTGCCTACAAGAAGGGTTGTCAGAACAGAGAAACTAATAAAAGAGAACCTGGCCAAATTATTGGGACCGACAGATCCTTGGAGTTTCTAGCTTTCAGCAGGCTCTTGGCAGCGGACTGTAGGCATACCATTGCTAGAAGAAAAAAATACAGAATATGGTGTTGAATAAAAGTGATCAACGGTGTCTTCTGTCCAGGCTACGTTCTGGCCTGGAAACTTGGTAGCTGTAGTGTGTTTCTGATGTACCTTTCAGAAATTTAGAGACACTGACACAGTGCTCTCACACTAGTTCTAATCACATGAAGGCAGTGTCTTATAGGATTTTATCTGTTTTTTAATAAATCTGTAGATTTTCAAGTTGTTGCAAGCACCATTTACAGACAGCGGTGATGGCCCGATGTTGCGGTTGGAGGAGCTTGGAGACCAGCGTCATGCTCCCTTCAGACACATATGCCGGCTTTGCTACAGAGTCCTGAGGCACTCGCAGCAGGATTACAGAAAGAATCAGGTTTGAGATATGTCTGTAGCTTTCAATGGCACTAACACGGTTCCTGCCTCCAAAAAAATAAAAGCTACATCCTGTGAAACCCTGCTATGCTGTGCTGTATTGTACAGTCAGCAAGAGATTTTTGGATTGCTCAGTTTTCCCCTGTCTGGCATTTTTCATCTCAGAGACGATTTGCAGTGTGATTAGTACCAGTTCTAAGGGAAATAAGAAAACAATAGAATTGCTAACTGTGAAATCCAGGTGAATTACAAGACTTTCTTCCCTCTCGTGTACTACAAACTCCACTGAAAGTTGACCTGTGAATTAAGGCTGCTCATTTTTTGTTGCCGTTTATTAAAAACAAGTTCATATCAGATAAAGATAAATGCCTTGGTGGTGTCTAGCCCAGGAGGGAGGGAGGTGTTAAGGTTGTCTGTCAGCACTGGTTTTCTCTCCAAAGAACAACCATTTGAATCTAATCCAGTTTGCATCCTGGGATGTTGATATTGACAAACATCTTACTGTTTTCTGTTACTGAGTATTGCCTTAAATTCTGAGAATTAATTACACCACCTTCCTTCTTCCCTTTGTTTTGAAGGAATACATTGCAAAGCAGTTTGGCTTCATGCAGAAGCAAATTGGCTACGATGTCTTGGCCGAGGACACTATTACAGCACTGCTTCATAACAATCGCAAGCTCTTGGAGAAGCACATCACAGCTGCCGAGATTGACACTTTTGTTAGTCTTGTGAGGAAAAATAGGGAGCCCAGGTGAGAGCTACGTTTTTGAGTGTACGATTACCCTTTTCCTCTTAGTCTTCTGAGGAAAATCTGACCTGCCAACTTGCTAGTAAGGAAGCACAGCTAGTTCACTTCTTTTTTTGGCACTAGCCCTGACTTCCCCCTCGGGCAACAGTCTCGCTCTGCAATGTTAAAATGGAGGTCTGAATGTTTTCTTTCTGAAATGTGGACTGCTTCAGCCTAGATCTCAACAAGGATTGATACTCTTTTGGCTCACATTTTCCAACAGGTTTTTGGATTACCTCTCAGATCTGTGCGTTTCCATGAACAAGTCTATTCCAGTGACACAGGAGTTGATTTGTAAAGCTGTGCTGAATCCAGCAAATGCAGACATTCTCATTGAAACTAAGTAAGTTAATGCCTTTAAAGATGGTTTTCCTAGTGTGAAACAGAAGGAAGGTGATTCAAAGCTGAGAGCACTGCTGGCACGTCTAGAGAAAGCAGTTAAGTGTGTGTGGGGTCCTCTTCAAATCCACAGTAAATGGGTGTTGATGACAGCAGACGTCTGCCGTATGCATCCTCAGTCCTGCAGTCAGAGAAATCTTTCTGATCTCTCACGAGTGATCAAAGGAGACAGACTTTGCAGGAAGGTGTGCAGGGTCCTGTGGGCCTGATCCTCCTCTGGGCTTCAGGCTTTCCTCCATAAGCTGTCGGAAGGGAGCGAGCGCTTCCTGGGTGCGTGCCCACTGAGCTCAGCTTGCAGCGAAGCAGAAGCTGATGCGTCTCCGCTCACCCGGGTCTCCCTCTGCGGTTAGCGTTTGGGTCTCCAGCTCTCAGCATTGCCCTGCCATTGCCGAAGCATCAGAGCGGGCACCAAATCCCAATTGTCTTTCATAAAGATGGGTTTATTCAATATGTGGAATAGGGTATAGATAATTGTGATCAAAGTACTGTAAAAGGGAAGCAGGTCTTTGTCAGATGGTATTTAAAACGCAAATGGATGAGAGTATTCTTGCGCGTTTAATTCCCTTCATGAAATCATAAAGACTGTATTTATTTCCACCAGCACTTAAAGTTGCTAAATCACTTATTTGTTCTTATCCTTGTGTATTTAATTTGTCTTTTTTTTTGCTGAAGAGCTAAAAGCCCCCAAAGCCTTTTTAGTTTCTGATTCTGATTTGTTTCTAGTGATTTCGTCATGTAAGCAGAAATAAGTTCTGATCCAATTGGCATTTATGGGGTACAGAACTAATTGATTTTTAGTTATTTTTGTTTACCAAATCCTTTCCTAGTCTGAACGATCTTTGAACCAGTTCTCCTGTAAAGATGTTTTTGAAAGTCAGTTAGGTATGTCTTTAACTGCCTTGTTTCTTCATCAATTGAATGGAGCTGAAATGTTGGTAGTCTTAAGGCTGAATGGAAAGCTTATAATCTAAATTCATTCTAACCTAATGCTTTTAATGATAAACCCCAAAGATTTTATGTAGTAAACTGCTGCTGTTGAAGGAATAAGATATTCTGCTTTTACTTCACAGAGTTGAGGAATAAAAATTTGTGTTTTCTGAATGCAGGTGAGATCATAAAATTAGTTACTTCTATGTCACCAGTGTATTTTAGCAAATGTCCTTTTTAGCAAGTGTCTTAAAAGAAATGTTCTAAAAGATCTGCATAGGTCTTGGCAGTTTGTAATCTAACCTAACTTCCTCCTTGCAGGCTGGTCCTCTCTCGATTTGAGTTTGAAGAAGTGTCAAGTGGAGAAAACGCCTTGGAGGTTGGAGAAGATGAGGAAGAAGTGTGGTTGTTTTGGAGAGACAGTAACAAGGAAATCCGCAGTAAGAGTATCAGGGAGTTGGCTCAGGATGCTAAGGAAGGGCAGAAGGAAGATCGGGACATACTCAGCTACTACAGGTTAACAGCATGTGCAGTAGTTGGCTAGCAAAGTTCGTCAAGGCTGTGTGGGGAGGGCTTTGGTATATAGGCTGTAGTTGGTTTGGGAGAAAGGATACTGCGTTTGTGGACAAAATAGCCGTTAGAGAGTGAGGACAAAGTATCTTGGAAGCGACAGCTAAAAGCACAAAGTTTATTTGCGGTGAGAAGTCCAGTTATCGGCATAAGCAAGTTTGAACTGATGTAAAAAATGTATATAGTTGAGGCTTAGAGTGCATTGAAGTTGTACAGCAGTTAATGCCTGTATTTCTGCTTGGTTTCCTGCTAAGTGGGTTTTATGGGAGAGCCTGTACGCTAACTGTTTAGGTTACCTGTATTCGGATGGAAGTTGGGGTGAGCAACCGTTTGTGGGAAGAACAGGATTTCGGCATGCAAATGGCTTTGCTTTGGATTTGAAAGAAGTCACTGCTGTGCTCCCTGCCTTCTAAATTTCTCTCTAAGCTCAAAGCCTTTAGTGGTCCTGTAGCTCTCAGCAGGACAATATATGAAGTTATGAAAATGCCACAAGTTTGGTTTGATTAATGTGCAGTGCTCTTTTGTACAGCTTAAGCTATGGTTTTAGCAGTTTCTGACATGAAGCGATGTTTCCAGATGACTTGACAAGACACCAAGTTCTTGGCATAGTGTAAGATCAGGTTTCAGCCCAGACCAAATTCCTGTGTCTGGGTTATAAACTTCTGAGAGTAGTTTGACGGACAGGATTGTGGTGATGCGGAAAGTACAACTAGATTATTTTTTTTTTTTTATTTTTAATAGCTATCGTATTTTGCATTGAACCATTGAAATGGTTCTTGCAGTAGACTTCCCAATACATGGTTTTATATGGGCCTATTGGAGGACTGAGCTCCAAAGGACACCCTCTTGTATATTGTCTAAAAAATTGTATCTGCTCTCAAAATAGATTGCAAAAAAAAATTTAAAAATCTTGCACTGATTTTCAAATAGAATTGATAGTGTTAATTCTTTTTAGCCTATATTATAGGCTCATGAACGTGCTTAAAACAAGGATTTAGGATACAGTTTGGTCAAATTCCCACGAGGAGTGCTGAGAGTGAAAAGGAGTCTGCTTGAAATTGAATGTTTCTTCAGAAAACCTCACAGTTGACACTGTTCAACCCAAGCCTGTATGAATACTCATGAGTGTTGGACATGTGCTTTATGACTAAAGGCTAATTATCAGTCTGTTGAATGTGCCTACCTTAAATGCCAGTTGCTTACTTTTAGTTTAGGGACTGAAAAGCTTGGGAATTAAGTTTATTTTTCCTTTACTAATTCTTTGCCTAAAGGGAGCAAAGCTCAGTAGCTGTTTAATCAGGTACCTAACTTTTAACGATTTTGTAGTCTGTCTACGTTTTTGCCTCAGTGAACAACTGTGGCTTCAGCACCAGTAAGAAGTGTTTGGTCTTCGACAGTATTTAGGCTGAGTTGCCTTAAATGGTCTTTAGATTCTTCTGTAGCTTTCATAAACAGCATTACTTAATTCTATGCAACTCTCAGGAAAATATGACGACTCCTTTTATTTTATTTTTCCACCTCTTACGAGTGTTTGATAAGTACTTTATTCTTTCCATAATAAGTATAGCTACATTACTGGAAAATATAGGATTCATTCTGATAATATGTAAGAGCATATCAATACTATACTCAGTGGACATTTCTAAAGTGTAAGCTGTTTGTTTTCTTTTTTTTTATTCCCCCCCTGAAGATACCAGCTAAACCTCTTTGCTAGAATGTGCCTTGATCGCCAGTACTTAGCCATAAATGAAATATCTGGCCAGCTGGATGTGGACCTCATTCTCCGTTGCATGTCGGATGAAAACTTGCCATATGATTTGAGAGCATCTTTCTGTCGGCTAATGCTTCATATGCACGTTGATCGTGACCCCCAAGAACAAGTAACACCAGTGAAGTATGCTCGTCTGTGGTCAGAAATACCTTCTGAAATTGCTATCGATGAGTAAGTACTTGCTGGAATGGTGTGGGAAAGGAAATTACATCACTTCTGATCTGGCTTTGTTTTTAAAAAATCAATCTTACTCATGCATTATTTATACTGGTTCTGCTTAAAATTAAAAAAAATAATAATTAAAAAAACCCTTCATAATGTATTCTCACTAGTTCTGTTATTCAGAGCCTGTAGTTTCTTTGCCTGTAATGTTTGCTGGGGAGAACCTTCCCGAGAACCACATAACCTTCCTGCATGTGCACGGCTAAGCTGTGAGGCAGCAGGGGTTTGTCTCAAACACGCAGCGATCACAGCGATGGTCCGTCTCTGGTTTGGGTGATGTGACGAGTGACCTAGCCCTGGGGAGGGAAAGCAAGGGAGGACTACTTCATTTTTCCTCCTGCCTGATTTGGTTATGGCATAAACCCTTCGGGGCAGGTTGTCCACACAATAGCTCGCACAGCGCAAAGTAAAACCACGGGGGAAGACGCTGAAACAAGTAATGTGCTGGAGGCAGTCACAGTCCTTCACCTCCAATGGAAAATACTCCGAGTGGTGAAAAACCTATACAAAAACACAGCTAGACTGGAGGGGTGATTTCTTGACCGTAGACTTGTATTAACTCTTTTATAGTACAAATAATTTAAAATTTATAGTACTTCAACTGCTCAGAACTCAAGTTTTTCAGTTGGAGGAAAAGAACATTTAAAATCGGTGTTAAGTGTTAGCAATTTGAGTCTTGTCTATATCAGTACTAGTGTTTCCTGGTTTCTTGGGTTTCCCTCCCTTCCCTCCTTGCTAGCCTAGCTCTCTTTGCTGAGAGAGATGCAGTAGATCGTATTCAACTTCAAATGCCAAAATAGAAAAAGAAATGGCTTCAGCTCTGGCAGAGGCTAAACAGGGATACGTGATCAAATGGAGAAACAAAAGTAGTCAGTGGAAGGTGGTGGGGATTGTCTTTTGCGAACGCTCTCTGCTCACACTGAGAAACAAACCTAGAATTTCTATTAAGAAAAAATAACGTCTACTTTTCATATATATTGCTTTTATTTGGAGGAAAAATAGCATCCACAGTTGGCATCTGTTGGCCTTATCCATTCTCCTTAATGCTGTCAATAGCTTGTCATTGTTTCCACTAAAATACTAAGGGTTTCTTTTTTTTATTTATTGGGACAAAATTGTCTTTTTTTGTTTTCCTCAGACATTTTTAAATAGTGCAAATGAGCATATGGGATAAAAGAGCAAAAGCCAGGAAATTATGGTGTCAGCTTCCTGACGCTCTCGTTTGGATAAATTATTTAACAGCCTTTAACTTCTCCTAGACTTTGACAAACCAATGAAAAATGGTATGGGGGGAAAAGAGCCCTGTGTATTTGCATGCTAAGTTTTGTGTTTTGTTTTGTTTTTTGTTTTGTTTTGTTTTTTCCTCTTCAGCTATGATAGCAGTGGAACTTCCAAAGATGAAATTAAGGAGAGATTTGCACAAACAATGGAATTTGTAGAGGAATATTTAAGAGATGTGGTGTGTCAGAGGTTCCCTTTCTCTGATAAAGAGAAAAATAAGCTCACTTTTGAGGTAGTTATCCCGTTCTGATTTTATCCTTTTTTTTTTGTGGAATGTTGGTACTATTTTCAATGCTGTGTAGATTGGAAAGTAATTAGTGAGAGCTGAGCCTCAGCAGGCTCCTCCTTCCCACTGTAGTCCCTTCTTCTCATGCAAGCAACCCCATTGAAGTTTCTGAGCTTGCAATGATAGTTCTTGAAATACAATTAATGAATGCGAGCTTATGTCTTAGATTCGCATCAGCCTTGTTTACCTTTTGAGCTCTCAGTGTTATTGCAAAGTCAAGCTTTACTGGAATAAATAGTCTCGAAAGCTAAACACTATGTCTGCATGCACAGAGTCTCTAGAGCTTACAGTATTACTCACAAAGAGAATACAGTGTCCTGTGACTTACTGACCTATTAAAATAGACTGTGCAAATTAAATGTAGCAAATCCATGCAACAGTATTCCCTAAATAACCATTAGTATAAGAAAAGATGAGATGTTTCTTTATAAAAACAAAACAACATATTTGAGGGAATATACTTCAGATAATGGAGCTACGTTAAACATTTGCACTATGTATGAAATCATTATGTGTCAATCTTGAAGGATGTGGAGGACTTGTGGGGAAACTATAACTTGGTAGCAGTAAGCTTTAGTTGCGTGATTTTTTTTTTTTATGTAAGATAAAACCGTAAAAAGCGTCTGTACATTCCCTGTAGTCTTGACTTACCTTGTCTTTTCTGTAAGGAGACAGATGTGGTATGATTTTGTAGCTATGGAATATCGATTGCAGATACAGACTGTTACTCCAGGCATTGCAGTATTTGTAGGCAAGTAGAAAACTTTGCGATAAGATGTAGAACTATACAGTCTTATGGAATTACAAGGCATTATGATAAGAATATGATGCACAGACAGGTTCTTGATCTTTTCACTGTGTTAAGACAACTTGATTGTGATAGTAAAATGTTCAGTATTAATCAGGCTTTTTATTATTATTTTGGTAGGTTGTTAACTTAGCCAGAAATCTGATATATTTTGGTTTCTACAACTTCTGTGACCTCCTCAGACTAACCAAAATCCTCCTTGCTATATTAGACTGTGTGCACATCACTACCATCTTCCCTATTACCAAGATGGCAAAAGGCGAGGAAAGCAAAGGTAAGGCTGAAAAACGATCGGCAGAACAGATCGTTCTTTGGTAGTTTCTGGTTCATCTCAAAATGTCAATGTGGGTTCAAAATCTTCTACTCCGTTCAGTCCATGGCTTGGTGGTAAAGCTGAGTAATGCCTACGATGAAAGAGGGGAGAGGGCAGGGGGTTCTGAAAGTACCGCCGTGTTTCTATTGACTTCCATCTGTTCCAGGGATTTGGGTGTCCAGCTGGCCTTGTGTAATGTTGAGACAATTTCTCTTCGTAGGAGGTGAAGGGTCCTTGCCCTGTTAATGCAGTCCCATTACACCATCATAACCTTACCTGTTTACCTACCTCTCTGAAGGGAGCAATGTGATGAGATCAATCCACGGAGTCGGTGAGCTGATGACCCAGGTGGTGCTCAGAGGCGGTGGGTTCTTGCCCATGACTCCGCTTGCTGCTGCTCCTGAGGGGAACGTCAAGCAGAGCGAACCAGAGAAAGAGGACATCCTGGTAATGGACACAAAGCTGAAGATCATTGAAATACTTCAGGTACTAGCAACACAAATTAATGTAGCATCTCGTGCTGGCTTTAATCTGAGCGTTAATATAGTGCCATGCTGCCTTTTAATTAATTTCTGCCTTCTATGTGCCTCTCAAACTGGTAACAACAAGGGGGACACTTTCAGGCCTGCAGCACTCCACTTGCCAATGACAATATTGTACCATTACTGAAACAATTTAATAGAAATGTGTTTGCAGTAGATTTCTGCGTATTTAATGGTGATTTGTAAATACCTGACTTGAAGTGGATCAGTCATTTTCCACCTTACTGTCTCAGTAATTTCTCTGAGTCTGCAGAGCCATCTCGTTAAGTGCTCCAAGGAAGGGGGAGAGGCTCGAGACTCCTCTTCGTACAGCCATAAGCCTGAAATGTTTTTTCAGCACGCACGTTTGCCAGCCACGCTGTCTCTTCCATCTCTGTCTGGCTTTTCTCACTTGTTCACCCCTAAGTCTTTGGGGGACACAGAAAAGATTTTTTTTTTTTTCTTTTCCCCTCTTCCAGAGTGCTGCCTCGATCTAGATGCTCCTGCAGAATTACTGCGCTGAAATCCATCTTTCCTCCCTCAGTGTAGGAGTCCTTGTTCTGTTTGGTACCTTCATGGGCAAGTTCAGGGAGGCCAGAATGCTGCAAAAGCCTTGTGGGCGAAAATATGCGAAGCAGCAGGAAAGCCACAGTGTACCTTCCCTGTGCCCCCGTGGGAGGCTTCGTGCAGAGCTGGGTTTGAGGTTATGCCCTTCCCCTCAGCAGCAGATGCGGCACGTAGGGGAGGCTTGATTCACTTCCTTTCACCGCTGCTAATTTTAGTTAAAGCCAGAACTTCTCTTATGGCCTGGCATGTGCAATGGCATATTTTAGCGTGCCAGTATTCCCCCTGTTACCAGGGTCTATTAAAACTGGCATTAAGCATTTTCCCCTAAATCTGAGAACCACAAGTGTTCTTTGCATCATACTTCTTTCCTCAAGAGGAAGACAGACCATGGAGAGGTTTCACTGGCACTAGCCCGTGGTTACCCGGACGGGTCACTGCTGCGTGGCTGGGATGCCGCGCTCGTGGCAGCAGGCTGGCTCTTGGCAGCTCGTGTTCAGCTTCCTCTGCCCTGGGAGTCGGTGCGATGAGGACAGCAGCGCTGGTCTGTTAGATTCCTGCGGGGCTCGGAACGGAGGCAGAAAAGCTGCTTTCCTTTCCCGGGGATACTTGCATTGGGCAGCAATGAGGGATCAAAACTCTGCCAAAATCTACTATTCCTAAGTATTTATTACTGTGTGCATGTCATACTCTTTGAAATCACTGAATTCTGGGATTTTTAAGAAAACATTTGCGTACCTCTTCTCCAAGTTAAATCCATATTTTTACTATGATCTTGCGTATTTGTAGCAGTGTTACGTACAAATTGTCTCTATGCGTGCTTGGAAATAGGCAAGTTATTTCAATATTTTTACTACTTCTGTATTACCAGTTTATTTTGAACGTGAGATTGGACTACAGAATCTCCTGCCTACTTTGTATATTTAAACATGAATTTGATGAAAGCAATGCCCAGATGTCTGAATCACCCACTGGAAGCAGTAACCAAGAAATGCCAGCTAATGTACCAGGTTAGTTATTTTACAAAGAATGAATTTGTGTGGGTTAGGGAAGACTCTTTAATCTTAAAGGTGCTAATTGGATAATTGATTCAGGTTCTTGCTTTGGCATATGAATGGTCCCACTGAAGCAGAGTACCCTGCTAGCAGAGGGAATAACGGTAGGAATCGTTTCAATATGCTCTTAATGATGCCCAGGATTTATTTGTACTGTCTCCTACTTCTTTCTATGTGTTAAGTGGGACCCAAAGCCTGAGATGCATCCTTTAATGAAAACCTGAAATAAACACTATCATGTGCCATCTGTCATCAAGCTCAAATTAAATATTTCATATTAATGTTTCTGGGTGAAGGAAAAGGGTCCCCAAAGCAATCTGATTTCCTCCATCCCTTTCCCCTGGCCTGATGCCTCTTCCCACCCAAATTTCTCTCTTCCAAAGGTATTGTAGGAAGGCAGGACAGCTGGAGGTGTCAGCATCTCGGTGCTGCTCCACGAGGGTATGAAAGCAAGCTGTTGAGGAGTTGGTCGTGTCCAGCGTGAGCTGCTTAACTGGAAGCAGCAGAGTTAGTGGGCTGGGTAGATGGGGTGTTGTCAATCCCTGTATTGCTTTCCAGGGGATGAAGCATCCCGTAGTTAGGACCTGTGCTGCGTAGGAATAACTGGACTTCAAAAGTGCAGCTTATTAGACATCATACAGTTTTTCTTCCTCAATTTGGAGACTGTATCTCTAGATGCAGAGGAGAAAGATAAGGAAAATGTGGTTTAGATGTGAAGTCTTCAGAGGGAGCAGACTGTTCCTTTTGATCTCACTTCAAAGGAGATGTGTTTACTTTTTTTCCTTGGGCTGCCCGGGCCTTTGAAACTGGGCTGGTGGGGAGAGCGGGAGCTCTTTCCTCAAGCTGAACTTTGGAAGAGAGGGGGTAAATGTTTTTGGCAAAAATGTAAAATCCCCATGCTCTTTTTCCGTTCCCCTTTGCAAACGCTTGTCAAAGTTGGAGAGCTCCACGTCTGTTTTACCATTTTTATTTTTGAATTTCAGAATATTAGTCATTGCCCATGTGACAATCTATACCTTATACTGAAAAATGCAAAGAGCTTTTTGTCTATTGAGCCACAGGGACATTGCTGTCATTGCTGAATTTTCTGCTTTAGAACTTCTCAAAGCTGAAGGTTGGTGTTTCTGGCGGCTGGCCCCTCTGAATGACACCAGGTCCCATCAGTGTCCTGGAATGATACTGGTGCAATCTAAAAATAGGCAAGAAAGGAATAAGCTTGGATGTTGCTGAGGTGGTTATGCAGTTTAATTTGTGTGCTGAGAACAAGTTAATTTATTGTCCTATGCTGTCTTAGTAGGCTGCTTCAGTCATCTCTCAGCATTCCTTTCAGCTTGTTATGACCCTTTGCTTACACCTACATCATCACTTGACTTTTAAAATGTTTTTAGGCTGCAGAAACGTCTCTGGTGCAACTCTGACATAACGTATTTGTCTTGGTATTTTCTCAGGAGCCCTAGACTTTGAACATATTGAAGAACAAGCTGAGGGGATCTTTGGTGGAAGGAAAGTATCTGTTCACTACTGCTAATCAAGGGGTAGCTCAGCAGTTCCCAGGCTGCAGCCCTCAGGGCTCCCGAGGAGTGGGGATTGCAGCTGGAAGGCAGGTGGTAACTGGGAAAAGGTTGGAAACAGCTGCCACGGTTACCTAGGCTTCATCTTCCTGAAATGCCTGGGATACAGCTCAACGTAGTGTCCGTTTGGATTAAAAGCCACAGATAAGGCATAGGGATCCTTCTTCAGACAGAAGGATCTTCATGGGAGGGCTTCGTTTGTGTGGGTGAAAGCCAAGTTGGAGGATCAGCGCATCTAAACTAAATACTGCAGTAAAATCTTAGGCGGGAAAGCTTTTGTAGGCAAGGACTGGGTCTTATGCTGAGATAGATATTTGTTTAGCCATGAGTCTTTTGGATAATGCAGCATTAAACTGCACATGCATGACAGAACAAAACGAGCTGTACCTTCCATACCTGCCTGCCTTCCGGAGCGGCTTGTATCCTTTCTTAAATCACAGGATGGCAAGTCAGTGACAGGCTCCAAGTGCTCGAGCTTATCCTGATGCTCCATCCACTATCTGTTGGAGCACCGTGAAGCCATCTATTCCAACCCTCCTTAAGCTGCTCAGAGCTGGAGTTGTGTTCTGTAAACCTCAGATAACTGATTTCTTAAATGGGGACAGAAGGGAACAGAGAGATTCCCTGACAGAATTAATAACCAGAATTTTTACTGTAACTGTGCAGACTCAGTTGGAAGCAGAATGGAGGAAAGATTCAGGGGGCACTGACAGGAAAAAGAAAATGCAACATGAGATTCTTATGCTCAGAAAAGAGGTGCAGAGGGAAGAGGAGGATTGTAAGTGCTTGACATAATTAGCATTGCAACCTGGACACTGAGGTGGGGTTGTATTTCGTAAATAGTGAGAAAGGTTAGTACCAGGAATGGGCAAGAAGTATTTGAGCAATAGGGTGAGACTGACATAGGGACAAATATTTTGGCATAGTTTGACCCCAAAAAAATGTAAGTTGGATAATGTAAGCTGAGTGAACTGTGATTAATGAGAATCTGGAATAGCCTCCTTGTTAAGCAGTACACCAACACACCCTGTGTGTCTTAAGATAGCGCTTAATTTGATAAACTTCTCCCTTAAAAGTAAGAAAAAAGGTTTTCTGCCACCACTGACTGGACTTAAGAACCTGCTGGGACATTCAGTCTAATACACTAGTTAACTCCGACACTCTGTTTTCAGTGAGGAGAATACACCACTGGATTTGGACGATCATGGTGGCAGAACATTTCTCAGAGTTTTGTTGCATTTAACAATGCATGATTATCCTCCTCTGGTGTCTGGAGCACTTCAGCTACTTTTCCGGCACTTTAGTCAGAGACAAGAAGTCCTTCAAGCTTTTAAGCAGGTATGTGTGTGTGTGTGTAAAGAGCATAATTCCTCATCTGAATGTATATATTGCAGCTAAAAACAATCCTTTTGTGCAACTAATGGATTGCATTCATGTAAGGTTCAACTGCTTGTTACCAGCCAAGATGTTGACAACTACAAGCAGATAAAACAAGATTTGGATCAGCTGAGGTCTATCGTGGAAAAATCAGAGCTTTGGGTGTACAAAGGCCAGGGCCCTGATGAGACTATGGATGGAGTGCAAGGTGAAAATGAACACAAGAAAAAAGAGGTAATTGGGTTCTGTTTGCACAAATTGATGCATTAATATTTTATGAAAATGTAACTGTTTCCTGAACTGTGACTAAAAAAACCCCAGACATGTTTCTGGCACACTGCATAGCCCGGTGAGGCTATCTGAATTGCTTTTGGACTAAGGCAAGAGTAAGAGGAGAACCTGAGCTAGTTGATGCCGGTTAGTGTCAGGTGGAATCTGCTCAGGATTAGCAGCCACTGAAGTGTCATCTTTGGGCTCTAACAGAGCAGTTGGTTTGAGTGTGTCCTGGCTCCCGAGTTGTGTCCTTTCACCACTCACAGATGGCATGGGGTTTCTGTGGTCAAAAGTACCTTAAATAATACAAGGGCAGAGCTGCGGACTGTTCAGGTGATCCATTTTGAATCATGGCACGATGATTAAATGGCAGAAGAGAACAGTGCTTCAGAAACCTGGCAAATGTTGGTGCTTTATCTGTACCTGCTAATACCGGGCTTTCTTGGCATGCACATCTGGCTTAGAACTAATTAAACGCCTTTTGCCTCTGTATAATTTGCAATCAAATAGAAAAGACTGTGTGAGGAAACTCAAGAAATAGCCCCTGGGTTATGAACATTGATTGTTGGAAGTAAATGTAACTTGTCGCTTTCCTTGTGCGTAGTACTGTGAGGCATCTCTCAATATCTATCCAATGACAGTTTAATAGTAGTAGAGAGGGAGAGAAAGAAAGAAGCTTTTTTTGGGGGGGGAGACTTGATTACAGACAGAATGTGATAAGGAAAGGACAGGAGGTTGCTGCCTCTAAAATCATCCCACTCTCACCTTATTTCATGCTATAGAGGTCAATGTGACTAGTCAGGATAATTATATGTATTTTTCTGAGACTGTCAGAAAATTGAAGGATGACACTCCTTTCCAGGAAGAGAGCGGGCACTATCCTAGAATGGTAATTTTAGCCTTCACGAAGACAATGCAATAAGCTACTAATAAATTGTCTGATTTTATCCACAGGAAGGTCACAGCAAGTCCCAAAAGCCTGAAAGTACTAGCAGCTACAACTACCGTGTAGTAAAAGAGGTAAAACTTCACTTCTTGATAGTTAAATGGAAGTGTAAATGAGTAACACAGCTCTGGAGAGCTGCAGGGGGAGACACCCAGGAAAGTCTGAGTCACTCTTCCATTGTGGAAACTATTTGCTGAGTAATAACATATCCCAACTTGAATGAGAAGCCAGGAATATAATAAGCATAATGTGTATTCTTTCCTTAAGAATGGATTAGTGAGAAACACGACGTTTTGCTGCTGTTTCAATGGTAACACAATATTTTTATTGTTCAAAGCTATGAAGGAGGTAAGCAAGTGGAGAAGCTATTTAATTTGCTCTGTCCAAGTAGTTTGCACTCAAAAGCACCATGCTATTAAAGTTTAATTTCAAAATACCAGACAAAGAGCAGGCGTTGGCACTGGTGTGCTGTTAGCTGTGGGGCTTTCCGTGGCACCGTGCTGCGGAGCCCGATGCCAGGTTCACTTGACACGGCTGAACTCCGCAGGACCAGCCCTAGTCAGAGATGCGATGGACGGTGCCCAGGCTAATAAGCCACCAGATGTGATGACAACGTTGTGGCCACACTGCGTCCCTTGCCTGTGGCACGTGGCACGAGGCTGTGCTGGCTGCTGTGTCCCCGGAGGGGTGGTGGCTGCTGCTCGACGGGCAGAAGGCAGTGTTGGTCTGCGCCTTCTGCCCTCACGTTTCCCCGAGGTTCTTGGTTCAAGTTTGGTCCTTTTGCACCTCTGTTGTTGTTGCAGGAGCAACCACGCCTTAGCCTGGTCTTAGCTCCTCACCTCAAGACCCCAAAACCTGATTTTGCTGCCTAGAGCTGCTCTGGTCCATGCAGATGCATTTTTCAGTGATGCTGCTCTCTGGGAGCCACCTGGTATGTTCTGAAATAAAATCCAGAATTTCAGCTCTAAAGCAAGTGTCTCCTCCAGATCCTGCTGCGGCTGAGCAAGCTCTGTGTTCAGGAAGGCATCTCGGTCAGGAAAAGCCGTAAGCAGCAGCAGCGACTTCTGAGGAACATGGGAGCTCACGCCGTTGTGCTGGAGCTGCTGCAGATCCCTTATGAAAAGGTTGGGTTTCTATACGGCTGTCGCCTTGCTTCGTGTCATTTTGATGGGCTTTTAATACCTCCTTTGAATCTTCCTGAACTTCTACCTTTATATTGGATTCAAAGAGGCTATTTTATATAGCCTCGTAGTCTATGCAATATCCACGCTTCAAAAATAATTGTGAGCTTATATCAGCTTTGTTTAAAGTCTTTGAATATACAGTGTTCTGCACTATTTCCTGAAGAAGTATTTGTCCATCGTAGCTCAGAGTAAGACCAAGTCTCAACTCTCAGCTTCTCATGGGAGATGTGTGCTGCCTTGAAGTTAAGCTGTGCTGGTGGAAGCAAGACCCTTGCGATTGCTGCGAGGTAGCTGTATGACAGCCACCCCGGGAACGCGAAGGGAAACGAGGGTGCCTTGTTCCCCGGGGGATTTATCGGCAGGTCTGCCCAGTGACTAGACGCAGACCCTCCCAGTTGTAGGGTCCCAAACCCCTCCTTAGAAATGAATAAATATCAACTGGCTATCCAGGTGAGGTCTGCTGTTCATAATTACCCGTATCAGAGTGCGGTGGAATGTCAGCGGTACAGTTTGAAGCCCACTTTGCGTTGCTGTACGGTTTGAGCTTGCACAGCACCGCGTTGTGCTGATGAAGCACACCCCAAGTTCGTTGTGTTGGCTGCCCATTAGTCACAGGTGACAGGTACTTATCACTGCATAGGTGGGGAGCTCTTCACGTTTTCCCAGACACTCTGCTGTCCTCTGTTCCAAACTCTACAGATTTCTGAGAACCAGTAATTCCAGACAGAGATTTGATTAATAATAAGCGAAGTGTCATGCTGTCTTACTTCATATTTTGCTAACAAATCAGCAGCGAAACCACCCTCCGACACCTCTTGTCACCTTTCTGTCCCATGCATATGAAAACATACTGGACAGGCAGTGGTGGAAGGTGTTTCACCCTTGGAGATGTATGTGAAACTCCTTAAAAATAAAAGCAGACGCTAGTTTTCCAAACTGCATTTTATACCATCAGTGGCTGGTAATCCACACTGATGTCAGAGGAAAGGCACCGATTCCTGAACTGTACTTGGAAGCATGCAAGTAGTGTGCGGATTCCAGTAAATATAAATTGGGCTTAACTGTTGCAGTAATAACTTTCCGTCTTTTCTTTGCCATGAAGTACCCATCTGTCGCTGCTGAAATGCATTTCAATGGAACATGGCAATTTTCCTCTGTAGCCCCAAGGTGATGATGTGTGGTTTGGCCAATGTGCTGGTGTGTTCAGAAGTGTAAAAGTGACTAAAGCACGTTGCTGGCAGGCTTGGCCATGGAGTATGCAATTTTAGAGAAAAAACTACTGTAATTTCTATTATGGTCTTTATTTTTGATGATCTTTAAAACTGCGAAGCAGGCCAAACTCATCCCTAATGTCTATGAACTGGGTGGAGGTTTGTTTTTCTTTGGAGTGTGAGAGACGTGCCAGTTCCCTTGCAGAGCCGGAGCTGCGGCTCATCCAGTAGTCACCTGAAAGTGAACCTTCAGATTCTTTTTAACCCCATCTTATTTGTCATGCGATCACAGGCTGAAGACACAAGGATGCAGGAGATAATGAAGCTTGCACACGAGTTTTTACAGAACTTCTGTGCTGGGAACCAACAGAACCAGGCACTGCTGCACAAGCACATAAACCTGTTCCTTAACCCAGGGGTAAGAATAATCTCTTGCCATGATTTTTTTTTTTTTTCCCTAGCAAGAGAAGAGAATGGATTGTCTTTGGTGATTTGCCTCTGGGCCTGTTCTGATGCAAGACTGGTTAAGGGGTCACACTTTGTTTTCATTCTGAAGCCTCAAAAGTTGGCAAGGTCTGTTTGTTTAGGACCATTTCAGTGTAGAAAGTTCAAGAGGCTGAAGTGGACTGAAAAATAGGATTAGATACAAGCCGTTGTGTTGAAAGATTAGGTCCTCGGAAATGTTCTTTGAGTCCTGCGCCCTGCAGGAGTGTTGACTTTATCCTGACCTCTGCGTGGGTTTGGTGGTTTGTTTATTTTCTAATTTCTTTCTTTCTTTCATCCCCTCCGTTAGATTCTGGAAGCAGTAACAATGCAGCACATTTTCATGAACAACTTCCAGCTTTGCAGTGAGATTAATGAACGCGTTGTTCAACACTTTGTCCACTGTATCGAAACACACGGCAGAAATGTTCAGTACATAAAGTTCCTGCAGACAATTGTCAAGGCGGAAGGAAAATTCATTAAGAAATGCCAAGATATGGTAATGGCTGAGGTGAGAGCTGCAGAGATTCGCAAGGTCTGAGCAGAAGTTTTCACATACCATTTGGTGAAAATGACAAATTGATCCTCTCGCTTCTGGGGCTGCCAAGAAGCTGACAGTTAGCTCTCTCTCAATGCAAAAAGAGCATGCAGCTACCAGAAAGCACAGGCTTTTTTTTGTGACCCAAAGCTTTCTGAGCTCCTCACCTGTAGGCACAACGAGTAATCGGTTATTAACGATACTGACAAGTTACTTTCCAGGCTTCTACACAGCAGCATATAGGTGGGCTTATGAAGCAAGGGTGCCTTTCCCTAGCAAAATTGGCTAGAAGAGAAATAGTTTAGTTTCAAGATCAGTAATGCAGAAGGAAAATTTTACCATTAAAGTATTTTGATGAGAATTTCTTATCTTACCAAGACTTAGATATTCAGCTGCTTAAGTGCTGAAGGGAGAAAAATCTGAGGGCCTTCAGAAATTTAGGTGTGTAGGAAACTGGGGTGTCAGCATAGGAGAGAGTAAGAGAAGGGTGAATAAATCCCGTTAAGTTGGATGTTGGACGTGATCTGTTTGACAGCCTATTTGCATGTTTGATGGGATTTTTATTGGCCTCTTCAGCAGGGGGAGCCCAAGGATCAGATTTGTCCAGCTCTGGCTTTTGTGTATCAATCTTACTAGATTGATCAAAGGTATTCCATATTTTGTTGTTCAGCTCAAAAATGATTTTGTGAGCTTCTCAACACGGAGTCGAGTTTGTGAGATGCTCAGCAACTGGCTTCCACAGGGGTCAGCAGCTGCTGGGAAAAGGGGGTTGCCTTGGGGGGTTGCCTTCTGCATCTTACCTAGGTGTTTACCCCCCTCCCTGCGGGAGGACAGCCTCGGATCCCTCCAGCTGCGTGCTCGGAAGCGCCCGGCCCAGAGCAGATCTCGGTTTGCTCCTTCTCCTTTCCTTTGTGGAGTTACGGGAGGTCTGAACTGCTCTGGAAATCTGGCCATCCGGGTCTCAGTGTGAAGCTGATAGAAATCTTCAGTGTGTGACTTAACGTGTCACTCGTTAGCCTTGGAAAATTGATGATGTTTGTTCAGAAGGGCGGAATCACTGAGCCTTGTAGTCCTCCCATCCGGCGTGCCCCTGGGGCGTTCCTCTGAACAAAACGGTATGTCTACAGCTAGCTGTATTAAAAAGTCAGCTGAGGCAATAGACGTGAAATAAAAAAGCACAATGGAAAGTCACAAGCTTCTTGGCACAACTTCTGTCTGAGCAGTCAGTTGGACTGACTTTGAAGTTCTTCAGCAGTTCAGAAGTGATAAATTCTTTAGGAGAAAATGTCATAGTGGAGCCCTCTGTCCCGTGAAGGGAGCAGGAGAGGAATGCCCAGCTGACTCGGTGGGCTGCACTCCTTTCGCTAATCGGTATTTGCACTGTTTAACGGTCAGCCCACAGATTAGGGGAGGATGCTGCGGGGAGATGCGCAGGCTTTGATCTGCTGATGGAATATTTCTCTTTCTCGGTAGCTGGTGAATGCGGGAGAAGATGTCCTAGTGTTTTACAACGACAGAGCCTCCTTCCAGACTTTGGTGCAAATGATGAGATCAGAGAGGGATCGGATGGATGAAAACAGCCCGCTGATGTACCACATCCACTTAGTAGAACTGCTTGCTGTCTGCACAGAAGGCAAAAATGTCTACACAGAAATAAAATGCAACTCCCTGCTTCCTTTGGATGACATTGTTAGGGTAGTAACCCATGAGGATTGCATTCCTGAGGTGAGGGCTGTTTGGAGCCGCTGGCCTATGTGTATTTGAAATGTGCTGGCTTTGGGTGAGAGGTTTGATGTTGCTGGGTCCGGCCTGGGAAAGGTGGTGGTGCAGGTGGACAGTAAGCTGGGAGCTGGGAAACTGGCTTCCTTCCCTGGTTCTGCTATCCGCAACCCCAGTGAATCTGCATAGTGAAGTTAAATCCTTTTAGACTAGTTTCCTTGCCCTTGAAATGGGGATGTGATGCTGTACTCGCTTGTTTTATAGGGTTCTTGAGGCAGAGAGGTTTATGGAGTATGCTGCTAACCTTGAACAGATGGTCCTGCAGAACTGGAAATGATTATTATGCTGACGCTTTGTCTGCAGTAATCCTGGCATTTTTTATTGGATGAGGTTTTGCTATTCATGGCATTAAATTTCACCAGTGCTTAAATAAAAGGAAGAAGTAGAATCACAAATGATTTATGTAGCAGTTTATTGTGACTTTATATTCATTCATAATATCATTCAGGGTTTTATTTTTTTTAATGGTAATCTTTTTTTTCGCTGCTTTTAGGTCAAAATTGCATATATCAACTTCTTGAATCATTGCTACGTGGACACAGAAGTAGAAATGAAAGAGATTTACACCAGTAATCATATGTGGAAGCTATTTGAAAACTTCCTGGTTGACATCTGTCGGGTAATGATTTCTGTATCTAGGAACTGAATTAAAAAAGCTTAAATGAACCTATTTAGTATAGTGCAGTAAGAATAAGACATAACAATGCATCAAGGCAATAAGTACCCTGAATACCGTGTTCCTTCAAATTTATGTGCCGCCTTTTCCTTATGCCTGCAGATTTCATTAGTCGTATTCCATGGAAGACATTAATATTTTCCTTTCAAAAAGAAAAAAAAAAAAAAAACCCACCACAAAACCTCAGAAAATCCCCACACCCTGCTCTTTTGTCTAATGCCTTTTTCTGTTCTGCCACCTGGCTTGTTTATTCTGGCCAGGATAGCGAGCTCCTTCCTGAGCAATAGTCAACGATTTCTGGCAGGTCAGGACAAATTTTTTCCAAGCTTGGCGTTTCTTTGGCCATATGGCTTTTTGCCTGGGATTCCAAGTATTTCCCCATACGAAAGCATTACACCTCAGTCCTCCCTACCCTACTACTTTCTTTCCTCTAAGGCACTCTGTTTTTTTCCCTCCCTCCTAAACTCCTAAACATGCTATATGCCAACACATTATAAGGGTAACGGTGTTGGGCTTCTGCTTTTGTGTGTGCTGGAAATCCAGAGATCTAAGTGTCATAAATATCATTGTGGCAGGGAATTGCTGTGACTAGATCGATGGAAATCAAGAATTCCAGTCTGTAACACTTGATTAATCTGCCTTGGTTGAGCTGCTCCTGACCTAAGAATGAATTGTCTTCCAGGCTTGTAACAACACCAGCGACAGAAAGCATGCCGACTCCATATTGGAGAAGTACGTTACAGAGATAGTGATGAGTATAGTCACCACTTTCTTCAGTTCCCCGTTCTCTGATCAGAGCACTACTTTGCAGGTAGGAAAACGCAGAGAATTTCACAGACAAGTGAAAATGTGCTGCAAATGCAATTATCTTCCTTCCACTTTGGTTCTGTTTTACCAGTTAAAAAGAAACACATGTTTGTAATGGGGGAGCAGATATGTATTCTTTGTGACCGGGATGGCTCTTTTGCTGCAGATGTGGAAAGATTTATAAATCAGAGTACAAATGTTTTTCTAGAGAGGCTGAAGAGTCACATTACTTCGCTAGTAAATTCAACTCTGGATGTACTACCACTGAGATCACACAGGTCTTTTGGAGAGAGTTTCTACATCGTTGTCGGGTTCTGGGTGAGAAAATCACACTGCAAGTAGGGAAAAGAAGGGGGTTTTTTATGTTTTGTATTGCAGTTGCATCTAAGGGCTCTGGTTGTCCTCTTTGGGGCCTTAGAGCAGGGTACAGCTGAATAAGATGATGTGGACAGGTGTAAGAGAGCAAAGAAGCAGTTTTGCTCAGTGATAATTTGGCATGCCGGCTGTCTAGCAGTGGTAAAGCAGTAGCACTGCAGCAAGGAGTTCTCCAGAGTGCCATGAAGGAGGAAGGTAAAGCTTTGGTGGCAGGCTTGCCAGACAGGAGGAGAGGGTGTTGCATAACAGAGGGGGCGAAGGTGATTGTTTAAAGCAAGCATGTTTTTATAAGAAGATTCTAATTTCCTTTAAAATCAAAAAAATTTCCAAAAGCTCTAGAGTGTTTCATTAAGCTGAGTAATTCAAAAGTTGGGGAAATGTGGAGGAGAACCTTGGAACACTTCTGATGTGCCAGAAGTTAGAGATTTCCACTGCAGAACAGAAGTGTCAGGACATTGCCCTAACATTTGTATTGCGGCACAAAGATAACATCATTTGTGTATTCATAAATAACTTTTTGGGGAGGAGTGTGGGTGGAGTGGTCAGGTGCCTGGCAGGTCTGGCAGAAGTTTGAGTCGGGTAGTTGTTGAAACTTGATGCAACCTCATTGTGCCAAAGGCAGTTGTTCACCGTGCAAACTCCAGGTTTGTAGCTGAGTGCAACTGGCAGCAGGTTAGAAGGCATCTGGTTCCCAAAACTGGCCATAAGGGACATCTGGCAATTTGACGTGTCAGTCCCTCGTCAAAGAATTTACGCTAACCCTTTGGATCACAGTGCGCTGCCTGGGTGACTGCAGCACCGGGGAAGTGTACGTAAAACTGCTGCGTGGCTGTGCATCAGGTGAAGACCTTCTGCTCAATATCAGCAGCAATGTTGCTGCTTTTCCTTGACTGCCCGTATCTCGTGCTGACAGTCTGCCCTCCTTGAGTCAGGACGTGTGTTTGACCCGTGTCTGGATGACCAGTGGCCAGCCTGATCCACCAACTGCGTAGCATTCGGCACAGCCCTGCCTCTCCCTCCGTACTCAGACAAGGAGACGGTCACGCTGAAAGCGAGAGAGCTGCCTCTGAGATGGGCTCGGATGCTCTGAAACGGCCAAACTGCACATTGCCTGTGGGAGCACACGGAGCTGCAAACTGCTGTGTTTGGGCTGAGCAGCTTTATTAGGGTTCTGTCTTATCTCACAGCTAAGTCTGAGCAGTCCAGCTGTTGATTTGCTCCTTATGTGACTTTAAAAATCGCAGCCAGTATTGTGGTATCAGCCTCCATGCTAGTTTGTCAAAACTTCATCAAAAGAAAATAAGAAATGGAGAGCAAGTTAGGCTTGTCCCCTGGGGCTCTGCCCTTCTCTCTTCCCTGTCATGCCTTTAACTGTCATCTCTGAGTGTACAGCATGTGAATATACTTCCTTACCGTCATATTTTAGTGATCTGTTAATTTTATTTGTCAGCAGCTTTGCTTTAGTTTCTCAATCTCTCCCTCTGTCTAGCAGGATGAAGTAACTTGTTTCACCTTTCTCTTACCATCTCAGTTGATAGTTCTGCCTTATCTTAGATTCATCTTTCCTTTACACCTCTAAGGTAAAAGCTCTGTTTCTGTCCCCTTTTCTGCCTGTCAAGACTCTTGCCCGTAACTGAGGACTCTTCCATCGGAGGAGTACGGCCCGTTGGACCAGCTGGCTGTGCACATCCCTCCGGGTGGGATTTTCCCTGTGTCTGAGATGCTGCAGGGCATTCTGCGGCCGCTGCTCCCTGACCTGGTGCCGCTGTCTCCCTAGGCGAGCGACCGTTGCTACTCTCCTTTGCATCGCTGTTGGATTCAGTCGTTCCCCGTCCTTTCTGCTGCACCTTGTCATCTCGCTTCTTCCCGTGCGAGCCTCTTCTCGTCTCATGCTCTTTCGTGTTATGGCTTGTTAGACTTAAATTGTACCTCCTTTGAGTCAGGACCAGCCTTGCTTGCTCAAGGAACACCTTGTACATCTGTCATGCAGTTCAAATAATATAAATTTAGGAGAACGTAAATGTGTCTTTTTGAAGAGCAGCTGTCCAGAACTTTTCCTCATTAACAAGTACCACTTAGCCTGTTTGTCTCCCAAGGGTGCTGCTGCCCAAGGCTTTCCTTCGCAATTGTGGTTGGAGGCATGTGGAATATGGAGGAAATTTCTTATTTGATTTATTGACCTAGTTTAAGCAAATGAAGTGTCTTTGAAGCTTTTTAAGGCCAAAAATTCTTTAAACAGGAATACGTGGATGGCTGAAATCCAAAACTGCAGGTATTTTCAGAGCCTTGGACAATACTACTGTCTGCCATGTTTTTGGTGTTTGGCTTATTTCTAGAAGGGGTAACAGGTATTTGCCTCTTAGTAATTTTTGGTTCTTGAATTTTGATTCTCCTCTTACACATTTCATAATGGTATTATTTGATTAATTGATCTAACAGATTTAATTATCTAAACGATTTGGCTTTTTCATCTAACTCCACTTTTTTCTTACAAACAGGCATTAATCTTGACCAGAATAAAAGAGGTATTTTTTTTCACTGGTTCCTAAGTCTTGTGGGCTTTGCACTGTGGTGTAGTTACTTAGCTGATAGAAACATTACATGGCTAGTCGGCACAGGGACACGGGATATTCCTTCTCAGTGTAGGTTCATTTGGAATATTTAAAATACTCTTTCCTCTACAGGTAAAATAAATGAATTAATCTAAGTAATTACTGTACAAAACCAAACGGAGTTTTGGTCAGTACTGTTGGGATGTTGCAAAGAGGAAAGAGCAGAGCTCGCGTGTGCGTGTCTGGAGTTCCTCACCTATCTTAGGTGGAAGATCCCCTTGCAAAATACAGGGCTAAACACCACACCTTAATTTCGGCTGATCTGTAGCAGCTGCAGCATTTACCACTAACTGCTACCTGTGTTGGAAGTAACAAACACACAGCTGGTTTCTTCAGTAAATCAGATACCAGCTAATAATACTTGAAATGATGAGTTTTCAACTCTGGAGCTGTGCTGTCGTTTAGGCAACAGCGCAGTCCCATCTACCTGCGGACTATTGAGTCAGCTACTGGTCAAGGCTAAAGGAAGAATCTCTGTATGCCAGGTTTGCTGATAGCTCTGATTAAACAGATGAAGATGACTGCTTATTTCCTTTGCTTAGTCAGGCTTCAATTACTCGAGGCTTTGTGCTTTAGAAGCTATCTATTTAATATTTCCCTTCCAGCCTTCGTTCCCACCCTTTCCATTCAGTTGCTGATTGTGTAGTAGATACGCTGTCTACAACGTGAAGTTGCTTAACAAGTGGATGCAGACCAGTTAGAAATGACTGGTGTGCAGAGAGTCATGGCTGAAGCCGGTAACCGGTACTACCTCAGGGTGATGCTGATACATCTCAGTGTGGCCTGATGAGTTTGATTTTCTTTTCTTTAACCTTGTGTTCTAGACTCGCCAACCTGTGTTCGTGCAGTTGCTGCAAGGCGTGTTCAGAGTGTACCATTGCAACTGGTTAATGCCAAGCCAAAAGGCGTTGGTGGAAAGCTGCATTCGGGTCCTCTCAGATGTAGGTAAGAAATGGATGTAACCAGAACTAACTGCTGCAAACATGGTCATCCAGTGTCTGCTGCTTACGTGTCATCCTTCCAAAAAGAAACTGCAGTTTTCTTTCTGCAGGTGCCACTTGCAGAGAACTCGGAGCCAAGGCATAGTACAAAGTTATGTTGCTCTGTTGAGCAATAGGTGGTGTCGCTGTAACCTGAAGTGCTTTCTCTGTTTAACCTCAAAACTCTGTAGTCCTCTTGATCTGCAGCAGGGCAATAGTTCTGCACCACGCCTCCCAGTAATTTGCTCTACTTCTAGCAGCAAGAAGAGTAATTTGTACTGGATATGAGGCCAAATTCTGTTGGACAGGTGTACGTGTGTGTTAGCATGAGAAGTTGGGAGTGTGCGTGTGAGAACAGATTCCTACTCCCACCCTTTGAAGACAGGAAAACAGCTCTGAGGTGTGCAAGCCTTTAAACATAATGCTACAGAGAGGTCTGACCCATTGCACGGGGACTGAGCGTTGCATTGCGTAAAGTGCACACGAAGGAGATTGTAGAAGGAATTGCAAGTAGAGCTTGTCTTGTTCTTGTGTTGGCTTTAATGCATGGGCCGAAGGAGTCAATTCTTACTAACTTTTGATTATTGCAGCAAAAAGCCGCGCAATTGCAATTCCTGTAGACTTGGACAGTCAGGTCAACAATCTCTTCCTGAAATCTCATAACATCGTACAGAAGACTGCAATGAACTGGCGAATGACGGCAAGGAATGCTGCCCGCAGAGATTCGGTGCTCGCTGCCTCCAGGGATTATCGAAACATAATTGAAAGATTACAGGTGACTACACAGCACCCCTTCCTCCTTTGATAAGCACCTACCTGCACGCCTACACAAAAGGTGGAATTTACTAAGGAGAAAGACATTTGGGAATGCGTTAACTAGTCAGAATATCACAAGGCAATTGAGGTAGCTGATGCTGAATATAATAATCCTGTAACACCGTAATACAGGACAGGTAATTGAACGTGCATGGCTAATGGGTAGTGAAGTGCTCGTCCTAGGAGATGTTGATATTTGAAGTTAGTGATACCTGAAGTATTCTTATTCCACCACTAGTAATATTTCTTTGATAAGACAGGACTTTCTCATCATCATAGCCTTCCGGACTCCTCCAGTGCTTTGCTGCTTGTACACCGAAACTCTCAGTACAAGGAAAGGTGCCACAGCCCTGCCTGGAAACCACTGCAGAGCTGGAAACACGTAGGTGTAGCGGTGCCTTGTGAACCAGTTGCAGCCACAGTCGTTCCCTGAAACAAAGTGTGTGCATTCCCATGCTGTTTTTCCGAAAAAGGCTATTTAAACATAATGCTTTGTGTTAGAAATAGGGATTGATGTGTTATAGCTGTATTCAGGTCTGTAGACAGTTCAGTAAGGCTTTTTATATCAAATGAAATTCATCATCTCGAATGATGCCTTTATCCTTTGAAGATTCATTCTCTGGCCAAAAGGTTTTTCTGGCAAACAGTACTAACTAACTTTACGTAAACTTGTATTACATAATATAAAACCACTGCCCAACCCATTCTCATTGAAATACCTTCTCCCTCTTTATCTATTCCTGTCTATTTGTCCGTTTCAATTTGATTAAACTTCCTCTCTGACTTCAGAGGTATCTCACTATTTTCTGCTTGTTTAAGAATTAGGATAAATGCAGTTTCATTTTAAGGTAGCTACAGCTTTCCAAACATCAATGAAAAGGGGAAGAATTATATCTTTTGCGTAATTTTAAGAGTAAGATTTTTATTTTTTCCAGCTCATGTAAGCATAAATAACCTGATCGTTATCACAGAGTTTCAGTGCAACTCTGAATCTGCATTTTTCTCTTTTCCCTGTATGAACAAGAGCACTTACAAAGATGGAGAGGGTAGGGGAACTAAGTCACCTGCGGGACTGCTGGAAATCGGGACTTTCCTTTGAAAGACAATTACTAAATGATAAAACTGAAAGTCTTACTTGACCGAACTCTGAGGTCTTTAATCTAGTTTATCCAGGCAGGACAGACCTAACTATCCTGTCCCTCTTTTGCAGTTTGTAAAATTAATTTACATTTATCAAGATTTTAAATAAACACTCAATGCATATACGATTATATTCTAGGACATAGTATCAGCTTTGGAGGATCGCCTACGCCCTCTTGTCCAGGCAGAGTTATCAGTACTGGTAGATGTGCTTCACAGGCCTGAACTGCTCTTCCCAGAGAACACAGACGCAAGGAGGAAATGTGAAAGCGGAGGGTTCATTTGCAAGTAAGGTGTCCTGCAGTCTGGCTCGTTGGGAGGGTTTTTGTTATGTTTTGCTCTTCCCCAATTCTCCCATGCCTGCTGGAGCGGTGCCCTCCTGCCCAGCTTTACGTAAAGCAGAGTGTTTCACGACATGGTAAATGCAACTTCTCCTTGGAGGGGAGGAAGCTTTTGGGAATGGGGATAGACTGCTTGGCGTAAAATGCTTAAAAATTCCTGGCTTTGCTGCAGGATAGAAGTGCCATAACCAGTAGTATAAACAAGTAAAAAATTACGAGCTAATCCCTGTTAATGTATCCCTGCCTTCAACCCTCGTAGTGTTTGCAAGGTGCTTGATCTTGTAGCACTCAGTGCTGGGTAAGTATGTCAGCATCAGTTGTTACCGTGCGCATCACCCAGTGCAGATGCTGCCCTGTTGTGGGGGGAAGGAAAAGGGAAGATTACGAGGTCATTTAGAGGGCAGTTCAGAGCAGAATCCAGCTTCTCAGATCACCTCCTGGAGGGGTGGATTTTATAGTGAGTTTATGGAAAGTAGCTACCAGAGCAACAAACAAATGCTGGGTGGGATGGATTGCGCTGTCCAGGACTCTCGGTGTATTTTTTTAACAAAGTAGTATGTGGAATAGTTCTCTTTCTTACTGTTAAGTGTTTGCTCTGGAGGATCAGCAAGTCCTAAATCCCACTGCCCTTCCCCTGATTCCTCCTGCCTGTAGCCAGAGGGTTTTGTCTGGCTGTCCTCCTGCCGCGGGGATGCCGTTTCCTTCCCAGCTTCCCCAAACCCGTGGTACCTGGTTCAATGTCGCTCTTGAGAGAATGTTCCCAAGATGGTTGTATAATGGGATGATAATAAAACTCGCTTGCAGCTTAAACCAATTAAGTAAGATAGCCACGTATATCTTACCCCGTTTTTAAAATATTAGTACTAAAACAAGCTGTGATTGATTGGTTATTTTCAGGTTAATAAAGCATACTAAACAGCTGCTAGAGGAGAATGAGGAGAAACTATGTATTAAAGTATTACAGACGCTCAGGGAAATGATGACCAAAGATAGAGGCTATGGAGAAAAGGTAATGTAATTTACAGTTCATCATTCTGTGTTAAACACTGTCTTTATTATTCAGTAAAGGAAAATAAAATTCTTGCTCTTTCAAGCTGTGTTTCGTATGTGTAAGCATTTCTGTACTGGATCAGGAACAAAACGTTTTTAGTCAACTAATAACTTCAAATATAATTTGAAAGGTAAGCTTGTTTCTGTTGCTTTTCTACTTTAGACTTGCAAGTTTAAGTCTAATTCCTGTGGTTGCTGGCACTGTAAAAATATCTAATTTTGTTACCTTTTTATGAAGGATAAACCTCTTTATCTGCTTTCTGGGTCTAGGTGACTCTTCATCAGGTCACATAACCTTTTATAGTTTAATTTTAATTTATATACATCTGAGTCATCTTCTAAATTATAGATGAAAACTGTCTTTACATCCACCCTTCTTTTTTCTTCCCCCTTCCTACATACAACTTCTTTGAGAAAAACATTTTTCTGTAGGTACAGACCTAGTCTCTGTTTGCGTCAGAAAAGTGTCTATATGCATGTATGTTTGTCTATCTAGACATTCCTACGGTCAATCTCAAAATCCTAGTCTAATTATCTTGTGCATTTTTAAGCAACCTAGGTTATTACCGTGCCACACGGTCGGTGTACAAAGCAATATGCCCTTCCAGTGAACATGCTCCTGAGTAATTGAGAATTGCCAGTTGGGACTGGGGGAAGCAGCGGTGTGGAAGGACGCTTGCTGCAACTGGGAGTCCATGCCCAGGAGCAGATGGTGTCTCATATTCAATTCTCACTTGCAGCACGGTTTAAAGTGGTTGCATAGTGCTAGATTCACAGCACAAAAAGGCAAAAGCTTTAGAGGTCGGACAGTTTCATAATAGTCATAATTGTTTATAGCTGTAGCTATGGCTGCAGCCGCAAGGGAGGGAGATGCTCTGAAGGCAGCGGAACCTGTAGCATCGCTGGGCCAGCTGGGATGTCGCACGCCACCCCTGCTTTGGCTAGCCTGGCTGGCAACGAGGAGGGTGCAGGAACAGAACGTAGACAGTGCTGTCTTGCCAGTCCAGCAAGAGCGCACCAGAGCAAAGGGACCTGGAGGAGGGAGAGCAAACAGAGCGAGGTGGCTATGGGCACGTGGGTGTTCACGTGCGTGTGTGTGGGCTGTTACCGAGCACACCCAGCTGAGCACACAGCAGCGTGAGTTGAGCGGGAGGCTCCTAGGAAAATGCCCCAAGGGTAGGGATGGCCGGCGCTGTGCTCCCTGCCCCGTCAGGGAACGCTCTCCCACGTGCTGCTGCTACCTCTTAGATGTTGGGGGTCCGGCCCACCTCCCGGCCGCTGTGCTGCTTTGCTCTACACCTGCAGCCCTACCTAGGGATTCCTTTTCACTTGCCAGTAGCAGTATTTTTTAATAAACTCATTGACTTTAGGAGAACACTCAAATCAACTGCAAGAAAGAAGCGTATAAATGTGGGATGAGAAGGGTAGGAAAGGGCAGCAGCTCCACTTTGAACACATCGTACTTTTCTGCTGAAGTGGCAGTATCTTGTGCTGGGTCCTAACAGCACAAGGTGAAGCCCTGTGGAGACCGTCTGTCCTCTCCTCAAGGCCCCCTTACTAACACATCTGCGATCCCGTCTGATTCTGGAAGGGGACTGGTTGTAGCCTGTAGAAGTTAGTCTGCCCCTACAAAAGGGAGTTGGGCTTAGATGATCCTCTTGGCAAGCGTGGAGTGTTGATATCTCCTCTTGCCCAAAGCTGGGGATGTGAAAGATTCAGTGTAGTCATAGATATGGGGTTACAATTTGTTAACACCTCAGTGTACATTCCCCTGTTAAAAACAGCCAAGAGAGACTGTCCAAGGTCACCTTAAGTAATAAAAAAGCTGGATGATATATACTATACCCAACAAAACCCAAATGAGAGCTTTGAAGTTTTTGTTTTCTTTGAAATGCAATATGCTGCTTGGAGATTCTTCTAAATAGAAATTAACTTAGAGGAGTTCCTTAGACTTTATTTGGCCAACTCGGGTGAAGCAGTATTTCTAGAAGATGCAGTTAACGTAACTTGCACCATTCAGACCATGGAGAGCCCCACAAGATTCTAAAAATCTTCCAAGTGTAGAAAATGCATTAATTTCTGAAACAGTAGATCAGTTACATAATGCAAGATAAGAATATGCTTGCCTGTGAAATGGATTTCCGAATATGAAAAAGCAGCTGATTGCTTACAGATAGACTGCTAGTAGTAGTAGAACAGCTTTTACTGTCTGGCTGTGAGAAGTGCAACTGTATTTATTCTCCCTTGTGACTCATATAACTGTATTTAGTCACCACTTAAAAAGGCAATACCTTTTGTTTTAAAAGGGGGGGGGGGGGACCCCTTATGACACCCATTCTAAATCCCAGAGTCCCTACGTAGATAAACTTAATCTTGTGACCAGCATACTGATGACGCAAGCAATATTGCTAGCGGGTCAGATGTTCACAGAACTGACAGCAGTCACTTCAAAGTAGTGTTCAGCAGCAGAGCGCCATGGAAGTTTTGGCATCGTGTCTGATTTTGCTGTAATACCATGTGGTGCTTGCTGGAACAATCCAATTTATAAAAAGATTGTACTCCTCCTCTCACGCTTAATCTCCCAGCACAAATAATAAAATGCCGCACCCTCCTGGCCCGTGCACTTGTCCCTTTGGTAGGTGGGAAGCGTAATGAGAACGCAGTGGTGTCCTCTCCCATTAGTGAAGGCCTTCATTAAACAGCTGGGATTCCTCTGCAGCATGCAAAACCCGTGGTGAGAACACAGATGTACAGAAGCTTGTGGGAAGGCTCGAAGTTTTACATATTGCTAAAGACTCCTCATCTTGGCACGCACTCAGGTTCGCTCAGTGATGGGTAGCATACTGTGGTATATTTAATAGGCAGAAAACTTTACTACATTGACAGTGTAGGCTAGACCCAAGTTTTTTACTTTGCTGAAACATGTCATTCATAGACGTCTTCCTGGGTGCCTACCAGATGATTAGCCTCACTTCTGCAGGACTTAAATTTTTTTTTAAACTCCGTTTCTCTTCCCAAACTGGAAATCCAGCCTCTGCACTCCTGCTGCTCCTTACAGCTCACGCTGGGGATGACTCTTATGCCCAAGGGTGAAGTTCTTGGATCTCGGTCAGCCAGCCCATGTGGTTTGGCACTTGGCACAGGAACAAAGCCAGGGCGCATCCTGCCTCTGAAGCTCCCTGCCGCAGCGCTTTCCAGCAGCGTCGGTTCCCCAACCCGCCGCATCCCGGCGCTTGCACACGTTACTCATGCCGACTGTAAAATTGCAGCATTAAAGTGTTAAATGATTTATAAGATCCTAACATGAAATTTATTTGTAATTTATCTTACTAACGCTTGCTTTCAATTCTTCCCCTTCTTTCTTTTCCGGCAGATTACCATTGAATTGGATAATGCTGAGGTTTTAATTTTATTTATTTTCTACAGTGTTGTTTCTATGGTGTTTGTTTTATGAGTAGCCCTGTGATCTGTCCTGTTGTCTCTTCAGCACTGAGCTTTCTAATTTGTATGCCTGTGTCAGTGAATTAGTTGAGTTTTCAGTCTGCCGTGTGTCTACGCTGGGAATAGTTAACATAACTAATTCCATCTGTCATTACTCGGAATATTAGTCCAAATGCAGTTATAACTTCTGGCAGCCTGCAATCAGTCCGGCGCCATGGGAGATGCCATGGAGTTTAGAACCAGATCTGAATGCCTTTGCAGCATCAATTGCAGCAAGCACCATTAAAACATCAGCATTTAGCAGCTGGCTGCGACTACCGCAACATCGGTGAACAGGCTCCTTCTTTTTATTGGGAAAGCTAAATGCTGAGGTTTAATTAATGGCGTTCATGCAGAAGTTGGAAGAACTTGCCAAAATGCAGCTGGAGAAGCCCCTGAATGAGGTGGGTCCGCTTGCTGACTCCCGTCGCAGGGCACAGCGAGCCGGGTGCAGGCAGGACCGCAGAGGGCTGGGTCCTTCTGCAGAAACTCTGTTGCTGGCTTTACCGAAAAAGGTGACAGTCATGCAATTCATCAAAGCATCTCGCTGTCCTTCCTGTTGGTTCTTAGTCAGGTTTGGTGTATAAAAGCCACGTAAAACGTTCGGATGTGTTGTGAAAGCAGTGTGGTGTAACCCTATGAAAATTACTAACTTCTGAAGGTACTTCTGTGCGAAAAGCTTCCTACCATCACAAACGTGCCTTCAGTTGGCAGCGCAACAGCCCCGGGCTGTGTTTATGCTGTATGTAGCTGTTTTACGGGCGGAAAAGCCATATTTGAGTGAGAACTTTCAGTTTAACTGAAATTAAGCTTTCTAAGGACTTGTAAAAGCGGTGTGTCTGGTTCGGGCACTGGCGCACGGGGTGGCGGAGGGAGCTGAGCTGTCTCTGCTGCAGCAACTTCCTCATCCAGCTCAAAAAAACCCCACGTGTGGGCGCTAAATTTGAGATTCTTTTTGCATAAATGTATAATACTGAGAAGGTGATTGACTGGCACCTTATTTTACTGAAATACCAGGAAAAGAAATATTTTCCTCTCTGTGCTTTGTTTCCTGCCTTCTCTCCCAAGCCAACCTTTTATTTGGAACAAAATTCAACCACTTAAACCACTTAATGTTACTGCTCTTTATTCAATAGAGTAGATAATGAAATACACCGTAAATTGCTTCTGTAGAATTTTGATAATCAGCTGAATTCACCTGGGTGAACTTCATTCTGAGAACCAAATAGCAGTTGGTGACCTTTCCTGTTGAAATGGATTGGAATTCCAGACTCTTTGTCACAAAAGCAGACCAGGACCTGTACCCATCGCCCAGGGTTGGGTTGGAGGATCTCTTCTGTGCAGCAGGGCTTTTAGGGGAGGGAAGGAGCACAATTCCTTGTGAGAACAATCCAGAATGGTGGCTTCTTTGGTTTGTTTTTAACCTAGCCTCTGGTTGGGATGCTCAGGCCCCTGCTGTGCCGCAGGTCGGTGCCGTTGCCGTCATCCCGACGTGTGCGGGGGTCCCCTCTCCAGGCTGGAGCAGAAGGTCCAGCCAGTGTCCAAGATAACTTCACATCACCAGTTTCAGCTTCAACAAAAAGCTCTTTGTCAGAAAATCCTCAGCTAGAGCTGCTCGGAGCCTTCACCCTTCTGTTTGTCGGTGGAAATTTTCAGCTCTTAGCGTGCCCGTCCTGTTGGCGTGTGTAGAAGGCAGCTGATGGGTAGGATGTACGCAGGGAGCGAGGGTCAGGGTTTGGTGCGGAGGACAGCGTTTGGTGTGGCAGAAGTCCATTGACAGCACGGGAGTCACGTCCGACCTGCGTGTCTCCAAGCTTCACACCAAACTGTTCATACTACTTCGTTACAGACGTGCTGCCGTGTCTAACCTCTAGTGTAATTATTTTCTCTTTTATAAACCAAGATTATTTTTTTTTCTCCTCTTACCTGGGGAGTGCGCACCAGCAGCGTGCTCTGTTTTTGAAAAATTAACCCGTAGCACGTTACCGCTAAGGTGCTAGACCCCTTAGACTGTGTGGTGCTACAGCTCCCCAGAATAGCATATATCTGTAATTTTATCTTGGAGAAACTTCAGACAGACTTGAATTGTTTAATTGCAAATTAAGTCATAATATGAAACTCCTTCCCCTTCAGTTTCTGGCTGCAATGCGCTGTCTTTGCCTGCAATAAATCAGCCAGAGTGTGTGGAGCAATTTAGGATTTGGTCTGGAGGCTGCACAGGAGGAACTTTATTGCCCCTCGACGGAGCAACTGTGTGGAGGGAGCAGGGGTGTGTATAACCATCGGCAGCGAGTGCTGGCTGTTATGGCAAGGGATGGGGACAGGGCTCACACCTCTGACAAGTCTCAGCGGAAATCCTGGGGTTTCCTTCCCCCTTGTCAACCCTGGAAACACTTAGGGCAAAGAATACAGAAATCTCCATTATTAGTAAAATTATTAACTTCCCTTTCTGTCAAATTCTGCACAATTTAATTTTTCTGATCAGCTGAAATGCTTTTTATTCCCTTGGGGTAAAACTCTTATTAAAGCAACCATCTTATGGCATGATTTCATAGTATTTATGTGATTGTATACATAGATTTCTATATCTTAGTTGCTTATTGCAAGATAACTTCAGTGAGTGGTGGGTCCAAATAATAAAACTAAAAATCCAAATAATAAAACGCCAAGAGGTCCACGCGCTTGTTTCTGAAAGTCGCGATAAAAAAATCGGCGTTCCAGTCCCCCTTAACAGTTTTGCGATGAAGAAAGGGAGGGAGTGCCCTTTGTAACTGGGGTGAACAATGCTGGAATTCACCTTGATGGTAGGAAATCCCCCGCAGAACAGGAAGGATGCTGAACGCCGCGACCCGAGCGCAGGGTCAGGTCAGCCCTGCCAATGCCCGGCGGGGCCCCGGGCGCCGCTGGAGCGTTTGTGGTGCTGGAAAATGTCGTGGAAACGAAGCGGAGGGGTAGCACGGCTTCGTGCTGTTGGCCTAGTTCACATGCTTGCTATCGAGGGGTTTACTGGAGTTCCCTTTTTGTTGGAAATGAGGGACGGGAAGGAACTGTAGTTCTCCAAGGAGAAGCGGTGTCGTGTGGTGTTTGTTTTCTACTACTGTAGTCTGAGGACCATGATCTGGTCTGACAGAAATAAGGTGATAGTATCTTTAAGCCCTTGTAGATGGGTTTGGTTTTTTTTTTATTTTTAACTCTGCAGCATCTGCTGTTGTGGCAGGATTTGTGTAAAAGTTTTTCCTTCTGGGGACAGAAATTAGGATACACTAAGAATGAAAGTTGTTTTGTAGTATCTCCAAAACATTCAGGTTCCTGTGAACTTGTAAAAGTGCATAGACCTTTGGGATAGGACCGGTATTAAAGAGCAGAAAAGGTATCTTGAAAGATGCATGAAAAGCACAATTTGTTTTGATAGAAAACCAAACCCCTCGGAAACTGTAAACCACTTTGCACCTTACTTGCAGCATGGTTGTGCTGGGTTTTGTCCTCACCTCGGGGAGCTGTCTGCTCAGAGCTCGTCTTTTTGGTTTGCAGCAGGACGACAGCTCCTGCGGCTCCATGGGCTCTCACGGAGCTTCGGGCTGGCGTTAGGAGCTGAAGGGTCTGACTGGAGCTGGAGAGCTAAATGGGGTGGGTGGTCACGTTGGCTCTGGGCAGGTTTCTCAAGTAATAAGGAAAGTCGAAACCCCCAAGGCAGGGCGTTGTCTGTGAAAGCCCTCGGGGCTGAGTATCGCTTGATCGGCTCCTTGCTGGGCTGGAACTGCTGAAATCCTGTTCTTGATGGAGCTGTTGACTGTGCTGGCCTCTCAGAAGAGGCTCAGGACCAAACTAAATTTGCCTCAAGTGCCATCAAGTGTGAATCTTCACACAACAGTGATAACTAAACTCCAGTTGTAATTAGACGCAACAGCTTAATTTACTTTTAAATTAATCCCCAACCCACTAAAAAGTCCAGACGTGATACAAATGCAGATTTTGCGGTGTTTCCCAACTGAAGCTGAGATGGTGAGCTCCACCATGGGTTCCTTGTGGTCCAGGACAGCTCGGGCAG